ACAGTCTGCACACAGGGAGCACGTGCTGAGCGGCCATTTTGAGCAGTCGGGGCACGGGGAGGAGATATCCCACCGGTCCGGCTGCCGGCAGGCTGTACTGCTTTTATCTCGTATTCCTCTTGCTCTCTCTTTGAAGACGTCTAGTGACTGAGATTTCCCAGCCTACCTGCCCAGTCGGCCTGAGAGATGGGCAGCCTCTACTGCACAGAGTTTTCCCAAAGTTCAAAATGAACTGCCCTTCCTATAGCTTAGCCCCATTGCTTCTTTCCCAGCCCCTGTGGACAGGGAGAACAGCTTCCCTGTGGTGTCTTTTCATATGTTTGAAGACCTATCATCCCTATTTCATAGAATCATAGAATCGTTTAGGTTGGAAAAGACCTTTAAGATCATCCAGTCCAACCATTAACCTATACTACCAAGTCCACTCTAAACCAATCAAGGGTAGACCAGACTAAACCGTGTCCCAAAGTGCCACATCTACCCGTTTTTTGAACACTTCCAGGGATGGGGACTCCACCACCTCTCTGGGCAGCCTGGTCCAATGCTTGACCACCCTTTCCGTAAAGAAATGTTTCCTAATTTCCAACCTAAACCTCCCCTGGCGCAGCTTGAGCCTATTTCCTCTTGTCCTATCGCTAACTACTTGACTTTATTTTCTCTAGATTAAAGATCCATATTTCCTTTGGCCTTTGCTTGTAGGTCATGTTTTTTAGGCTTACCTTTCTTGTTCTGCTTTTGCGTGTGTCCCTTTGGCACACGTCTTATTTGAAGTGCAGTTTTGCAGCAGAGGCCTTACCGATCCTCGGTCAGAGCAAAAGGATTGCCTGTGGCTTGCAGAGCACAGTGCCATGTATAATCCCACCCTTATTTTTACACCAGAAAAAAATTGAGTTGGTGATCTACTACAGGTTTAGTGGACAGGATCCTTTTCAATAGAACTGCCATTTAACCAGTGATCCCAGCTGGGTATTTGCATGGCTGATCGCTGCCTGCCTTAAATTTGTGCAGATTTCATCATAAACAATATGTGTACTCCTAGCAGGCTGCTGCACGCAAATATCTAAAAGGAATTGTGCTTTGTAGCTTTCTTAAATTGCTTGTTGAAAATGAGGGCAATATGCAATTCTGGTCCGTAGGAGGAAATTTCATGTTTAACTTGTGTGATCTGTACCTAATGTCTAAATTACCTGTGCATGCAAATCTACGTTATGGTGTATATAACCCATCCTTGTGAAACATCTAAAATTAAATCTGTCAACGTTACATGTACACGAGCTCTTTAGGAGTGGCAGTTCCAGATTTAACATTCATGCATGTAAAATGGATATAAAAAGTTAGAGAATAGTTTGAAGCTGCTTTTAAAATATAATCCCTGAAGTTTATCCAAACCTCTGCAAAACAGGAGTCTGATCCTGCAGATACATCTAACTGAAAATGCTGCTTGAGCTTTCTGATTAATGCCCATGGCAGTAAATGATTTGTACTTGATACTAAGTTTGCATTTGTTGACTGTTAAACTGGAAGTCCCGCAATTTTAATATAGTGCTTCAGCATTTTATATCTATTCTCTGATAGGAGTAGAAGTTTCAAAAATAGCTGAATCAAATCTCCATCTCTTTTTTTTTTTTTTTTCCCCTTCAAAATTCACATTTAGTTTAGGTTTGCTGCCAATACTTCTTATCCTTGCTTTAGCTGGGTTAGCTTCAACTGCCTGATTATACAGCTGGTTTCATGTTTTTATTCTGCTTTGAGCATCTTTCTGTCTCATCCCTCCTGTGTGTGTATAGTGCTTGTAAACATCATCTCTTCATTTACAAACCCTCTTGAACTGAGAAGGGCAAGCCGGTAACCCCCATCCATGGACCCCTGTTTTCCTCATCTTCACCCTGTGTTGATTGTATCAGACTTTTCTTCCAAATATCTGCCCGGTCCTGTATTTCTTCCCCTTTTCAACTGCATAATGCATGAGATGGAAGGCGTCTTCTCGGTGCCTGGTGACAGCCTGCGCCGGGTACACGGCGGCGGCAGCCTGCGGCCGGCCCGTGATTGACGCTAATGCACAGATCGCCGTTTCAGCTGGGTGTCGCAGTTGTTTGGGGGAGGCTGGTCAGTAAGGAGAGCAGGAGCCGTGTCACGGAAGCAGCCTGTCAGGGATTCACAGAGATCTCTTGAAGTGCCCTATTTTTGGTAACAGCATTTCCAGATAAATGCTTTTCCAATTCCAAAGGCATTTTGACATGCTGGGAACTAAACCTCTACCTAGCTGTGGGTTTAAGTCACATCCCTAACATTCTAGAAAGTGCTAGTCATTTGATTTTATAATCCTTTCTATGAATTATAATGATGGTAAGGACCAAATAGGCTTAGTCCTGTGCTGCCACTCTATCCAGACACATAACGAAGGTAGAAAAGGCACATTTAGAAACCGAGAGCCCCTTGATGCGTCTGGCAAGCTTAGCTCTGAAATCCTCAAAAGAGATCTGTCTTCCTTTTCCCTCTAAATTTAGATGGAGAATTTTTACATTCTTGGAATAGAGAGGGAGAAAGGTGGAAACTGGTAACACGCTGTCGAAAGAAAATTGTAGTGGTTTCCGATGCAGAACAATTTTCTGTGTGGCTTCTCTCTGAACTTGCGTAAGCGTTAGCTGGTCCACCTGCGAGCAGCCTGGTTTGTGTGTGTGAGTTAGATTGAGAACTTTAAACTCATGTCACCTTTTCTTTTTAGGCATTCAAGCCAATGTTTTAGGGGCCTCTCTGTCTTCTACAGGACCAGGTAGAACTGCTTTGCATAGGGCTTTCGTAAGCAGGTCTTTGGGGATTAATGGGCTTGGGTTTGGGGTTATTTTTTCCTGCCTAGCACATGCAGAAATGTTATTGCTCATTCACTGAAAGAGAAAACGAGTTTGCCAATTCCAGCTCTTTGTAGCTTGTTGGCATTTCTGAAAAGATACCAGGCAATGGGACTTACAGATAATTATTGCCACAAATAATTTAATCTGGATTTAATAACGAAGTCACCCTTTTTGACTCACTATTTTTAAACATCAGTAGTGGTCGTCTGTAATGGCTCACCCCAGCAGTCCAGAGTGCTTGTTATTAAGGACTTCTGCATTTTGGATTAGTGTTTCCCACGGAGAAATTTTAACTCCTGTTGCCAGAGAATTCACATAGGCATGTATGATTAGCAAATCTAAAGGATTAAAATAACCGCATAGCAGGGTTAATACACTTCAAGACTATTGTTGTTACCTCAGGTACCACAGCACAAAAGAAGGGGCTCCTACAGCTGTAGCTCATAGTTAATAAATCTGACTGTGCTAACATTGCTGAACACTGGAAGCAAAGCTTTTAACACCATTAAACACCAGCTTTTTGCTTCATCACTCAAGGACGGTTCCTCTGTTTGCATCTTCATCTGCAGAAGTGGATACACCATGGAGATTTTGTGAGATCTAAATATGCACTCTGTAATTATGTTCCCAATTTGAATAGCTATGGGTTTGAATTGAAACCACTAACTGTAAAAGGCTGAACCTCAACTGGTTGAGCAGATGAAACAGATGTATTTGTTCAAAAGTTTGCAGCAAACATTGGACATTTTTCCATAAATCTGCGCTCTCCTGGCCTGAATTGTCAGCTTGCCTTAAAATAGTCATTTCCCACAGACATAGGCAAAGGTTTAAGTTCTCTTTGACCCTTCCTTGCAAATGAGTGTAACTGGCCTAGCTACCCATCTCGTGAAAGGCTGGGGCTCAGCTGTGTGCTTGCACTTGCTTGTAAATGCCACTCTGACGTGTGCTGTGAATAAATAAAGCCTGTTGGAATACGTTGCAAGGAATATCCTTTTAAGAATCTAATGAAGTTTAAAAGATGGGTCGTACTTACCGTAAGCATGTCATTTTAGTGAAGAAAAACCTCTTTGCAAAATGATTTAGTTGTTAGGATTTTTTTTTTTTATGTTGAGTTGGAGGAAAAAAGAAAACTAAAGCTCCTTCTTACAGTAATCTGTTTTTCTTTTATTTTGTTTTATTTTCTTATCTACAGAAGCCGTGTAAGCAAAGTTCTTTGCCGGTGCTAGGGATTTGTGTGATATTTTTTCAAGGTGTGGGTTGTAGAATGTCACACATTCATTTTTAAACAGTTTTGCTCTCTGATATGAATGAAGCACAGGGCAGTCAAATGTCAATGGAAGCTTAGCAGCTCACTTTTCCTGCTTCTCTCCATTTTCTTATTATTAGCTGTGTTTGCAAAAGAGGAGCGTCTTATGTTCTTGGCTTCAAGCGGGCAGTGTTTGTTTCTGCTTTTGCCAATGTTTTTGACGTCTCCTCAAAATAAGAAAAGACCCATTTTCCCAGAACAGAGGCATATTTGGACATTTCTAAAATAACTTCAACCTTTAATTTGCCCCACCCTTCACTGACTGTCGATCCTCAGTGTGGTTTGGGTGTGTGTCAAGAACCTAGCAGAGGCTGCTGCCCTCCTTGCTGTGCTTGGGGACAGGGCAAAGCTCCTGCTCCAGCTCTCAGGTTGCAGAGTCAGGTCGCACTCTCCACTGGAGCACTCAAAGAAAATCCCCGGTGCAGGTGCCCCCGTGGGATGGATGCAGACGTCCCATTCACCTCCTAGTGAGCAGTTCTGATCGCTGCCCTCACCCCGTGCCCTCTGCTCTTCCTGGAGTGGCCAACACCCGCTCCAGGGGCTTTACCTATGCCACCCTCTTCAAGGATGACGTAGCACTCCTACTGCTGGGGTGATGCAGGTTTGTGCAAGATAAGTTACTGGGAGGGACGGCTAAGCTCAAAGACTGGTATCACTATATTTACTGTGCTCCACAACAGTTATATTAAAAAGTTGTGGCGTTTCCTCTCGTGTGGTTTGCCACATGCCCTGCATGTCTGACCAAGTGGGATAGTCGTGGTTTTCAAAATATTTTCTCATTGTTTTGTTTTTAATGAGGGAAAACTGACCTTGATTTCTCCCCTCTTCAAAATACCCTAAAGGAAGCTAGCCAAGAAGCAGAAGGAGACTCAGACCAGCACGCAGAGGGAGATGGGTCCCGTGGCTACTTCCGACAAGACCTCTACCAAACTCAGTGCTGTTCACAATGAAGAAGCTTTTTCTTCCAGCTGCCAAGATGTTAATGGATTCAGTAAGTTTAACTTGCTTGCAATGGATATGTCCCCCTTGGAGAGCTCTAGGTTCTTAAAAGGACCTATTCCTATGGGCACAATATTGAGGAGCTAGGAATGACAGTGATAGAGATCATTGCAAAAGCTCGATAGCAATCAGTTGTCTGAAATGTCTCTGACACTGCCCCTATTTTAACTGTGGTGGAGAGCATTCCTTCTGACTCTAAATCTACCGAGAATAATTTATAAAATCTGTTTTAATAACTACATACAGTCAAAAAGGCATATGTTTATTTGTCCTTCAGAAATATTTTTCCTTTGTGAGTAGAAGAGTCAAATCAAATCAGTTAGCTGACTTGTAGGATGAAATAACATTTTCTGTATGAAATTGTTATGAAAGAAAGCATGGTTTCCTGGTTAGAGAATTGGAATGGAAAGACAGCATTTCTTTTGTCTGTGTCCTACGTTTATTCTTCACACGGGTTCAGTAAAACTAATCTTAGTTAATACTTGTAAACCACTCAGACCTCTGTAGCTGGAAGAATTTTGTGGGTAAAGCAGCACAAAGTCGTCTTTTAGTCTTGCTAGATCCAGATTGAGTGCATGGTGGATTGCATGGTGGATTTGTAAAATTTTTTGTATTAAATAAATTTTAAATTAGACACTATGGGAATGTCACTCCTTCTTTTGACACCTAGCCTGCTAGTTTGAACAGGGAACAGCTCTGAAACACAAGTACATACTAAAACTCTTTTGTCTTTTTCGAACGTCTTTAGTGAAGTGGTTTTTCCCCTAATTACTAACATGAAAGTGCTTATGGCACAAAATGTGTTTTATCATTGAAACCTTTGTAATCTCAGATTGAGTGGGACAGGCTCAGTGAATTCTTCTTTTCCGTCTATCTGTAGGTCATGTCAAATTCCATCTGCATGTGTTGCTGCTGCCACTCTGTGTAACATACCTGTGAGATGGATAGATAGGTGTTTGGGACCATCAAGGCTAGCAGTGAACACTTCTGTCCGATATTAAATTGACTTGAGTCAAGATCTAATTTTCTCAGGTGCTGAGTAGCTATATCTCCTAAAGAGACAGCAAGAGTTGTCAGTGGTTCATATCTTTGAAAGACAGAATAGCAGAGGACAGCATTGTAACAGACATCCTAGCAACAGCAAAGGTAGCTTGTTTAAAATGTATGGGGAAAAAGAAATTTTAAATACTTTCTTCAGAATTTGGATTTTTAAAAGTTTGGGGTTTTTTTCCCAACTAGAAAATAAGAGACGAGATGAGCCTGTAATGTGACCTCATTTTTTTTCCCTTGGTATTTTGAGAGACTAATTAAAACAGCTGAGTAATTTACTTGAAATGGCAACTATAGAAAACATGTTGTATCTAATTTTGTAAAAAAAGCATCCCTCCAGGTTTTCTTTTTTTAAATCAGTTAGTCCTTTGCTTGTCTGACATCACTGCAGATTTTATCACTACCTCCCTCTATAACACAGTCTGAGTCAAGTCATGGGCCGATTCTTTTCTTTTTTTCCTTTTTATATCCGTGAGAAAAAATTACCAGTAAGCCTTCATGATTTCTCCAAATTTTTTACTGCCAAGTCCAGGATGCTGAGGTGTTGGAGGTAAGTTCTCTTCTGTGCAGTAGTGTGCACATGCTGATACAGGAATTATGTGGGTAAAAGACTTACTTTTTTAAAACATTGCCTTAATAGAGTGTAATACTTGAGGGTTTCTATATGGGCCTACTCTAACTTCTGAATAACATAATAGGATTACTTCTTAACCTTCCTGCTAACTAGCAGAGTTTTACAGGGGGTTATCCACCCTAGCTTTTGAAATCAACTGTGTCTGTCTTAAGCAGCAGTCAAATTCCTTCTTAAATTGTCCTTTTGCCTCCCAACAGAAAATAGCACTTGCAGGTATCTCATGATAGGTAGCCATCCTCTCCATCTTGACCCTCGGTTATGGGAGCCCAAGTTGGCTGTAGCAGTGGCGTGGAAATACCCCTCTCCTTTTCAAAGAAAGCCCACCAAGAGAAGCTAAGTGTTTTCAATCCCAAGATCACCTTGCTAGCTCACAAAAGCAATAAAATAGAACAAGACCACTTGTTAAGTAGGAAGCCTCATGATAATTGAATGACTTGCGAACAAGTTTACCTCCAGACGACAGTGTGCTTGCAGGGCATGTGTCCGTCCTTCTAGTTTTTCCTTCCTGTCCCAATCATTTTAATGATTTTTCAGACAGAACAAATTCCATGAGTCCCTATAGAAGCTTTTTTCTTCCCATAGTCTCTCCAGCTTGGCCACTGGTCTGCTCCTGCCGCAGATGGTGTTTGCCGTGCTGTTTGTGTGCAATGGAGTCCTTTGTTGAGGCCAGCGCAGTGCTCAGGAGCACACAGTCCTGTTGGACATTTGTAGTTTTGAATTTTACCGTTTGGCAGAGGTGTTCCTTATCAAACGTGATTATGTTCTGGAAGATCTGTAGCCTCTGCTGGAACAGAGAGACCTCTGGTCTTGCTGAAAAGTGGAAGAGAAATGGGCATTTGTCTTTCCTGGCCCAAAGCAAAGCTCCTCATCCCTCTTTCCATTCTACACTGTTAGTTGTTATTCAGGCAGAATTCTTACTAGTACATACAGGACTTTAAACTGAAGAGATTTTACGGATTCAGCCTGTCTCTGACACCATATGGAATCAGAATAGATGTTTGCTGAAAGATAGATTTTAGTCCATGGCTATTCCAGCTTGTCTGGTTTTACCCAGGGATTATGTGGAGGTGAAGCAGGCTTATCAGTTGTTCATTTTCTCAAATACCTTGCTTTTTAAAAAATAAATATATATCCTAAGTCCATTAAAGGTAGATGATGGTACTTGCAGTGTTTGAGCCTGCTCCTCGGTGTCCAGGAATGTTTGGAAAGCAGTGGTGTTTTCCTCCGAGTGGCACAGCACAGTCACGTGTAGGCATTGACTTGGTGCAGGGTTATTATGAAACGAGAGGATAAATTGAAGACGAGGTGGGCCTAAAACCATCCACCAGCATCGGTGCACTGACCAGGAGGGTGTGCAAGGGGTTGTGATGGCACATAAATTGTGTGCAATTTGGCAGCCCATGCATGTGATGGATATCGTCTTAGCGATGATGCACTAATGATATGTCCTGCACAAAGGAACTGTCCTTCTGGCTTTGCAGTGATAAAATGCCATGGATAGGGCTTCTCCAGGAGAATGCCATGTCACCAGTATAGCCCTCTTGACATCCTTGGCGGGTTTCTGGCAGGAACTTTTTGATTCTGAGGATTTAATCTCTTAAAATGCAGCCAGTTTTGCTAGAGACTGATTTATTAGGGTGTGCTTAACTTTTGTGACATCTCTGTTTGGGAGGAGACTGCTTTCCAGACAACCTTCAGGAGTGAGGCTGATACTGATTAGGTAGGTTGCTTTAATGTTACGTGCAGAAGCACAATTTGAAGACAGCATTTTGGAAGCTGTAGGGAACTGAGTTTTGCATTAGTGAGCGCTATTGTACAGTTACCAAGTTACTGTGCTTTTGCTAGAGAGAACAAGGAGATAAAAGGAAGCTGTAGGTAAGTGGCACTCGGGGTGTTCAGGATCATTTTTAACCAAGAACCATCTAAATTCACACCTCTCCAGATCCTGCATGTTTTTGTGATGAATTAAATGCAAAGGTCTTTAGATTTGCTGTAAGACACAACAGACAATTAGATCAAGATCTAGGTCTTATTCCTACCCCACAGGTAATTCTCCCTCCCAGCTAGGATACCTGCTATAAATGCAGTCCAAGGACCTGTAGGATCATGATCATGAGATGCTTTCTATAGTGAAAAATTCTAAAATTAATAGTAATAAAGCCAAATTTCATCAAAGGCATAAAAGGAAAAAAATGCCAAAATCCCTTATACTGGTTTTCATATCGGTTTGGGATTTTTGTGGGGTTTGCTAGTCCAGAAAATCTTACAAAAGGCAGGGGAGAATCATTTTCAGAACAGGAAGGAGCCTCCACCATTCTGCATGCCTAGAGGCACCTGTGTGGCCTCACGTGCCACTCCAGGGAGCATAAAGAGACTTTAAACGGAGTCTTAATCTCTACCCTGACACAAAATCCTCTCTGGAAGTGTTCCCTGTGATTGCACACTAGTGCTTGTAAAAACCTCTGGTTAGGTAGCGGCACTGTGTACACATCTCTCGTTACACAAGCCACTACCTGACTGATTTTGAGAATGCACTCCCTAAAGTTTTGGGAAACTTCTTTTTTGGTGGTTTTTTTCCCCCTTTTTCTTCTAAAGAAATAACCTAGAATTTAACTCCCTATCTCACAAATATGGCTCATTTCATAAACCTCAGTTGGTAACATTTTTAATCAAACTCACTGAACCGAGGTGTATATCTTCAGCTGCCTAAGTAATTTATCGTTAGCAAGTCCTGGAAAGGCAGTATGGCCCAGTGAGTTCTTTTATACTCCCAAATTTCAGAAAAATCGAGTCTGACTCCAAGCCCTGGCTGTTGACTTGCTCTGTGACCCTAGGCAAACAAATCACTCTTTTTAGACCTCATTTTATACATCTGTAAAAATGGCCATGTTCCAAGTACAGTAAGGGGAGGGTCTGATTTAGGCTAACAAGCACAGGGGAGAAAATGTAAGAGGCCCCAAATGAGAGATATTTTATGGCTTGAAGGCAGCTGGGCCAGAACTCCAGCAGACTAAGCTATGAGAAATTTGATTATTTTAATGTGTTTTCAAGTAGTGTAAGTCTGAAAATATGGCAGGAGAATGCAGAATGAGAGCGAGTTCATTTACTGGATGATTATATATTGCTTAGGAGGTAATTCTGCAGACTTTATGAAACTCCTTAGACTAGTGACTTCTTTGGTTCACCCCATAGAATAACTTGAATTTTTTAAGTGGTGTTTGTTTTAGATATACAAAAATTGCTTCTGAAATTACTTTGTTGTATACTGAATTTTATCTACTTCCACTGGATTATGGAATATTTTTTCCTCTGTTATCTTTTGTCATCTTTCTGATGTACTGAGATTTGTATTAGCTTGTTTCCCAACATTTTGAGGAGGAGATAAATAAATGCCTGCAACTCTAAGAGTGAATGCAGAATGATAACAAAAGAATATGCCTTCAGAAATGATGGATTACCATGAGAATGTACATGTATGCTACTGTAGATATAAACCAGCCTCATAAATTTACTATCAAGAAAAGAATCTACCGTGAAGATGTTGAGCTCTGTCTCCTTTCCATAAATATTTGATTAATATGGAAATAATTTGTGGATTCTTGTCCAGAGAAAGCTAATGCTTTAATGGGAGAAAGCGGGGATGCTTGTAAACCCAACTTGTAGAGAAAAGGATTATAGGATTTTCTATGAACAGTCCTGGGTTGAAGAACAAGTCCCTTGTTATCTTGTATTTTTTTTAACAAAAAAAATTTGCTACCCTACCTGTGTATTTTTATGGTACTAGTGTACATTGTGTTTGAGGAGGCTTATTTTACTGTTAATACCGTATTTGATTCTGTGTAGTTTATATTTTGGGGGTCGTTTTTAAGGATCTTCCTCCTAGAGACAAAAACATAAGTTTGTTCCTTTGGTTAAAAAAAAGGATATCTAGAATATAGTCCTATTTGTGTATCCTGTGTAGGAACACATTGATTTACAATAACTATAATACTATATTTGGGGTCTGGAGTGCTTATATTAAAGAAAATCCATCATGATGACAACGTAATAAATGTAATATGCATGTTGAGATGAAAAATATAATTCATTTTGATAAGCATTATATATCCCATATTACTGTGTTCTTTGAGGAACATTCTCCCTGTTCTCTTTCTCTCTCTTAATATATGTCTAAAGTCTTTTCCTTATGTCTTTCCTACCTAGCATCACCCTCTCCTTGTTCATTTTCTGTCCAAAGCAAAACCCTTCAGAGCAAATCTTTGTTGAATTCCTACTACTCAGGTACTAGTGCCAGACTTTTCTTTCATTTCTAAATTTTCTTTGCTTTTGTACGTTTCCCAATATGACCTATAGACTGAATCTTCTGAGTGTGAGATACAGCTAACCTTGTTTTCATTTTTTGTAACTTTTTTTCCTATTGATCTTCTGTTGATTTCCATTGATCCGTGTCGTGTGGGTGAACGGAATTCCATCTCAAAGTATCATCAGACACTGTTCCATCGACCACGCTGTTAGGTAAGAAGACAGGTATGGTGTACGGCACTTCATTGCAGAGCAAACACATTCATTGCGTCTTGAAAATAACTCAGAGAGCACTGTTAAGTTACTGGGCTCCAAAATCATAATTAATCCTGTGGTCATGTGTTGTGTTAATTGGAAAGCCTTTTGTTTTACTCATGCTTTGTTATTGTTATTAATTGATATTTTAATTTTTTTAGAGGAAAGAACAGTTCAAAAATTAAGGTTTAGGAGTTCTATCAAGTATTTGTTGTTTCTTTTTGTGAATGGGATTTGACATTCTGGGCCAAATTCCCATGCACTATATTGCCTTTGGCTTAGTTTTGACTCACATAGGTGGTTGTGCCTATGCAGCTGGCATAGAATCATAGGATGGTTTGGGTTGGAAGGGCCCTTTAGAGCTCCCCCAGCCCAACCCCTGCAGTGCCAGGGACAGCTTTAACCAGAGCAGGGTGCTCAGAGCCCCGTCCAACCTGGCCTGGGATGGTTCTGGGGATGGGGCCTCCACCGCCTCTCTGGGCAACCCCTTCCAGTGCTTCACCACCCTCAGTGTAAAAAATGTCTTCCTTATATCTAGTCTGAATCTACCCTCTTTTAGTTTAAAACCATTACCCCTTGTCCTGTGAGTGAGGCTCAGCTAGGTGTGCCTCAAGGCTTATGAATATCAGTGAGGATTTGCGTGTCCGAAGCAGGTGGGAGCTGACAATTATGGACTTAGTCGCAAGTATAAAGGTTATCCAGAGAAATCAGAGGCTGGGTTCGGGCAAGCGGCGCCACCCCATTGTGTGTATGCTGAGAGTTACATGCTAAATATTCAAGCAGTTTGGTATGGGTTTGAGAGGATAACAAAAAGGCAGGTTCTTAGAGGCAGAGGCTGTTCTCTGGCTGCTAGTGTTCAACATCTCTGAAAATTAGCTTTTCTTGTTCAGATGATAAATAAAGCATCCAATGTGCAGCTCTTAGCTTTTGGATTTTTAAAAAGAATACGTTTTTACAGTAAGTTAACAGAGACAGCAAAATTGGCAGAAACTGTTAGCTGATAAAAGAAGTTATCCAGAAACTTACTGGAGGAGTACCCTTGGAAGTGAGTAATAACAGCCTACAACTTCAGGCTCTCCCTGAAGGATGCTGCCTGCACGTGGAATTTGAAGAAGGCAATTCCTCCACTATGAATCAGAAAGATGATGTGTGGTTGATCAGAATCTAACCGGTGGTATTTATCAGACCTGTCATTTTGGATTATCTACAGTAAATGTTCGCTTCCAGACACAGTAATCTACCGTGGCCGCTTTAAACATTACTCTGAGCTTGTTGAAAAGCCCACAGTTAGACCAGCAAGAAATTACAACCAATCGCTTAAGTGCCTTGGCTTACAGACTAACAGCCTGGGCACAGAGGCTTGGAGGGACTGCCACAATACATGCATTTATCCTGCTATCTATCAAAATGCTGACGGCAATGAATGAGCCCTCTTTTAACAAGGTGGAGAAGGAAAGGAGTCCTTTTTCCAGAAGGTTTGTTCTCACTTCCCAGAGACTCAGTGTTGTCAATAGAAAAGTCTAAAGATAAATCTTTTGGCTATACTTTAGAAACAGGGCCCAGACCTGCAGTTTGCTGGAAGATGTCAAGCTGCTCTCAGTCTGGTACTCAGCATCTGTGAAAACTGGACCCTCATTTGAGGGACCTATTTTCCCACCTCTGTCCCGATAGTGAGAATTAAGTTGTGAACTGCACACTGCATAATCTGAAGTTCAAGGTGCAATGGACAGATTCAATCTGTACGTCTCATGGGAAAGCAAAAGCCAAAAAAGCGCCCAAAACTTTCAAAATCCCACATTTTACAGAGGAAAAAGAGGAAATAGGAATTAAACTGGTCTTGTACTTATATATTCAAAAGTCTTTCAAGCTTAACTTCTACTAACCACTATATCTGAGTAAGGATCAATATCCCTGTTTTACACATGGGAAGTTAAATACAGAGCACTTTCAAGACATGATTTACACAGACTGGTAACCCCCCCCCAGTTCCACCTGAATTTAACAGCCACAGGTGCTGTGAAGCAGCCCTTAGCATTGAAGAAATTTCTATATTGTGACTTGAAGACAAATTAAAACCTTGGCATTCTGGCTTCTCGGACAGATTAACCAGACGTTGGATGGTGGTGTATGAGCAAAACAAGTTTATTTTTTGATGTTTATTAATATTCATTCCTAGGAAAGAAAAAGAGATCTTAAAAAGGGCATCAGTCATCCCACTACCAATATCTGTCTTTGGGCACTACCTGCAGTTCAGTGCTATTTGTTCCCATCTGTTATGCCTTCTGCTAATAAATGTTCTGTGTCTGCAATAGTGGATGACTCCCTAGGCTTGGCTGTGACATGATTTGTTGATAGTAAGATATAGGGGATTTTGGTTTTGCCTTTACCCTATCCTGTGCTTGATTAATACTGTTTCATGTAATGCATGTTTTTAGCTCCGTAATTTTCTCTCCCAGTTGTAGACAAATCTGGATTTAAATGTTTTGTGAAAGTGTCTTCACTAGGGAAGTGAATATTTAATACTAACAAATAAAGGAGGTAGATCTCCCTATTTTTAATACTTCAGTAAGTCCCATATTGTACCAGTACTGTAAAGCCTGAACAGGAGGTAGTACAACCTTAGAGGTTGTTTTTGGAGAAAATGTGCATGGCCAGCAGCTCTCAAAGATGTTCAGCAGATGTCATCAGGGCAGTCTCTTCAGGGGAACCAGCACGTCCTTACCCTGCATTCATCAACATCTCCCGGCAGTGTGTAAGGACATTTTCCCTTGTTCTCATTTCAAATATTGAAGAGGATCCTAACAACAAGAGTCGCTGCCCTTCAGAGAGGATGAGGACTACAGTGCCTTGTAGTTCCTTGCAAATGGGTGGAACAAGCAGAGAAAGCTCGCTGTCATGAAGTCTCACACAAAAACTGGCTTGTGCTTAGACATAGAAATTTGCCCTGAATTTCAGTCTTCTGTAGCTTGGAGTAGTTTTGCCCATGCCTAATCAATGTGCTGTGGGTATATCCACAACCTAATGCTTGAAGAACTGAAAAGATATTAAGAAGCTGATATTGCTGCATTAGCAAATGTCACCATTACTAGCTTTTTAAATTGTGGGATGAGTTATTTTTATGCAATGGAAGTTTGAAAATCAATGGCTCGATCTGTTCAGCTGTATCTGTAACTTCCCAGGCCATGCCAGCCCCTAAGGAGCTGTGGGAGAGGCTTTCACGTCAGTTCACTGGGCTAATGGGGGCCTGCAGCAGGATGAGCAATGGAGGTGCATGCCCTTGTAGGCTGTTACTTGAGCAGAATTTCTCTTACATTTCTTTCTGCCTGCAGATGATCAGGTAGCTTGGAAAACTCTCTCTTCCAGTCTTTAATGAATTCTAATTTTGTGTGCTGTTTTGAAGTTGCCAATAGCTTTTCAGCTGTAACTAGTGAATTGCTCTGTAAGGTAGGTAGACCGGACAGCCTCTTTTCACCAAGGAGGCAAAGAAAGATTTAACTTGGTGAGGTCCACGCATTTGAAGAGCTGCGCTGTTACACATGTACCCCATAGTCCCAAGTCTTAGCCCACCTCACCAAAGCATCTTCCTTACATCTTTAAGGGGATTTTCTTCTATGCTAATTGATGAAAAAAATGTATATAATAGTTTTTTTTTTAAGGTTAGAATACAGTTGTGTGAGGTGTTCACCAAGCGATTCTTAAAAATCTCTTTAGAATCTAGAGAAAATTACTTTCTCCAGCTTTTTTTTTATTATTATGCACATGTGGCTTCTTCATAGCCTTTGAAATGAAAGATGCGTCCTCCGCTCTCTGTCAAACCTGGTGTCAGAAGGCTTTTTGTTAAGGAACGTGCCTTTTTATAGCTCAGCTGGTATCATTAGACAAATGATGTTTTGACTTTGGTTTCCCATACCACTGTTTGTATTGTATATAGCATATATAGCTGGATATTTATCACATAATAAAGCCTTGATGCACACAAAAAAGCAAATTAAATTTACCAGCTTGTACCATATCCCTAGTGTAAGGGGAAGAGATATTAGCCATGCTGTAGTCATCCTTGGAAGATGTCAAATAATTGACAACCCTTACTCTAGTGTAGAGAGACTGGATATGTGTGTAATTAAATCCATCACAAACACCACTCAAAATATAATTTATTTTGTGCAAAGGATGTCTTACTGTGTTACACACTTGCCAAGGCTAAGAGAATAAAAATATACACAGAGATGATAGGCCTGTCATTTCAGACACAGAAGGAATTCATGGATATTGAAGCGAAAGTTTTGAAAGAAACTTCTCTACGTATACAAGATGGCACATCAGTTCAGCATTGCTTTTAGTTGTCTGAGGCATAGGTTAGCTTTCTGGTCAGAAGGCAACATCATACTCTGTGTCCCGATATCTGTCTCCCAGAGTAACAAAACTATGTTTATGAAACAAGATAACATTTGTAAAAGGATGTAGAGTTTTAATCCCTGAAAGTGCTCCGGGTGAGCAGGTCCCCTCCCAGCGGCCGTACTGGGACGTTGCACAGGGGTCTGATCATACAGAGCCACTTCCAGGCTGGAATCTAATTTCCCAGCTGCTCTTCATCTTATCTGTGACGTCTACGGAGAAATTTTTCAGTTTTTCTGCGGAGGGAGACATATTTATTTTACTTGTCTGGGTAGCAACAAAAGTATATAATACAAGGTGGTGTAGCAGCAGGCAGGCAATAATATCTCCCCCTCAGGGTTACTCATCAAATGAGGAAAGATGCCACCTGGCTGGCCTCTGCTTCAGCTTTCCCCTGCACGCTGGACTCCATTACGTTTCTCTTGGCAGAGAAAGACCTCAGAGTTTACTTCAGCAAGCTCATGACTATTTTGCCAGCAAAGAAGAGAGTCACAAGAAGAACCATTTCATAAGCAAGGCGAGTTTGTGAATATTAAAAGTGGAGTCAACATTGTTAAATTTGATTATTTGCAGTTACACCCTAAACAGATAAGCTGAGATGCCTGAAGAGTTTCCTAATCGGGCCAGTTATGTGAGAGTCAGTGAATCGTTGATTTAACATCTTATACAAAATTCCGGGGTATTCTGTGAACTCTTAGGCTGATAATGAAACTGCCAGCTTCCAGAATTCAAAATATCTGTGTTGGCAACAGCCATCTTAGTATGGGGAGTAAGAGTGTTGCACTAAAAAGGGTTAACAAACAAGCTGACAACACATTTTGCTATTGCAGCTGCTGATATTAGAAATGATCCACTTCCAAACAGCATGTTTCCAGCAACATGCAGAATACCTGTTTTATTTACAGCTGCACAAAAAGAATTGTGGAAAATTGGCTATGGTTCTAGGAAGGAAGCGGAGCCCAGAACAGTCTTGCCCTAATGAGACTTCAGAAGCTCTCAATTGATTTACTTTATCAAAGAGAAACTGAAGAAGTGATTTGATCGGTGCCTGCATGGGTCAAGATTTCAAATGCTCAGAGGACTCTTTAATCTAACAGAAGGTATAATAAGATTCAGTGCCTGCAAGTTGAAGCTAAGCAAAATCAAATTGCAGTGAAGAAATGTTTAGACAGCAAGAGTAATTAACCATTGCCACAAATTTTGGGGTCAGAATGGAATCACCATCTCTTGAAATGTTTTAATTTGGATTATTTCTTGGAACTGTACTCCATCTTTGGTGTGCAATGACATATGCTGGTATGTGTTCCTATCAACAAAATGAGGACGTATGACTAGAAATAAGATGCGTGTATGAAATATAATCAAAAAAACCCTGATGCGCAATTCTGTATGTTTAGTAGTTTCTGAGTATGAGTGAATTATTTCCAGCATCTTTCAAAGAAAAAAAAAACCAACCCACAACTATTTTCTTGATTTGCTATTCTCACTGAAAACTCATGAAAGGCACACATGCTTTGGAGGCACTGCCAAAACTTTAGTGAAAGACTTGGCCAATTTGTCCTACAAACTCATCCTCATTTGCAAGGGAATAGGGGCATGTTTGTGCGAAGGGGACAGAGAGAAGGGACTATGGAAAATTGCTGTGATTTGCCTTTAGTGGAACAATTAAAGCAGAAGTCTGACTTTGCTGAGAGGCTGGTATTTTTTGTTGTCTTTTCCAGTAATAACAGTGCCAAAAGGAATGAGATGTTGTTTATAGGTGCAACATGCAGGAAAAGCAATGCCTGATGGCAAGCCCTCCAAAGACTCTTTTGGTTGATTGTCTTAGTGAAAGATCAGTTTGCTGCTACCTCCCTTCCAACCTGCATCTTGAATTGTTCACAAAATTGCTGTAAACAGCACATCTTGAGAGAAGGTGTCGTGCCTTGCGTGAGCGCCTCATTAACCATGCTTAGGTTCAGGCTCATGGTGTGATTAGACAGAGAAGGAACAATGTTTAGTGCATCAGGCTTTATTAGCAGAACTTAGGAATGCTAGGCTCGCTTTGTACATAGCAATTTGTCTCCATAAAAGCCCCTCCACTCTTGCCTTGGCCCAGATAAAATGCTGGTGGGAATAACTGACAGCCGCCCTGAGCTGCTGCAAATGTCGGGCTTGGGTTTTCTTTCAGGTAGCACAGAGGCCATTCAGGATGTGTTGGTCACGGATGTGCAGAGGAGGTGATCTTCTGCCTAATTTCAGCTCTGTGTGTCATTCAGTTGAGAGTAGGATGACCCAGATTGTGTGACACTTTTTTTTTTTAAGCAGAAGCACTTGGCTGGGTGTGATGCAAATGGTGTGGTGCCATGGACCATGCTGTGCAAGAGTGTGGGTTTTGTACCATTTTTTATCTGTCTGACCAAAGAGACCAGAAGCACAGTTGTCACTATAAACTCAAAGGCCAGAGTCAGATCCTTCTTTCTGCTGAGCAGCTTCTTTGAGTTCCAGATTCATAACACGGGCACCTACTTTGAGGGAAGTTATTCTGGAAAGGAGGGAGCACCACTTTTCTGGCTTTTACCTCTCCCTATGATGCTTCTCTCTGAGCAGAGCGCCACGTATACCAGAATTAAAGGATCTGATGAAGAGAGAAATTAATAATTGCCTGCAAAGGAGCTGAGTGATCTGAGCTACATTTTACAAGTAGCATGTGCTCTGCGTGTGCCCTTACTGTATTACCACTAGAACTGCACATTAGTTTTAAGACTCCCTCTCGAATAGGGATATCGTAATGTTTTTTAATTGGGGCTGATAAAAATGTGGCATTACTTGTAGGTTCCTCAGAGAAGCCAATTGTGAAATTGGGTTTGTATTAAACCTAATGACGGAAAATTAAGCATAGTACGTCTGTTGGAAATGGTCCGCAATAAAAATCTTCTCCTCTCCATTACAGGAGGTTAATAGGGAATAGGGGAGGAAAGATGCACTGGGAAAGCAAATCCAACTAGGGGAATTAATAAGCCTTGAAATTCCCTCTGTTCAGAGTTCTCACACTGTCATTAGTCGGAGCATTAGGGATGATTATACAAATGCTTTGGATGTTACTCTTCCTTAAATCCCAAATTTATTCACATTTTGTATCTGAGGGTTGCTTTGCTGGAGCCATAGCTCTGTAAATCTCTGAGCGTCCTGGGAATGTGACTGTGTTTATGAGAACCTGGGATTCAGAAAACCTTAAATTCAGTAGCCTAATCTTTGGAGCAGATGATCACTTTGTGCTAATTTATTTCAGAAGAAGCAAGATGTGTTCAGCATCTCTGATAATTCAACAACCAGACTTATTTAACTCACACTGGAGATCAACTTGCCCTGCAGCAGTGTCCACTGCTGGCATTCCTTTCTCCTCCTCATAGACCTGCAACTTCAAAACAGAGCGTTTGCCTGTCTTGATATCTTCCCCCTAATATAACAGTAAAGCAGCTAAGGCATTATTTGTTGTGTTTTGTCATGTCGTTGGTTTGCCAGCTGCTGGGAAGGCAGTCTAATGTCCTCATCTGTCTGCTCCTACCCAACTTTGCAGTGAGGGACAACGGCAGAGATCCGGACTGCTTCTGATCAAAACTCCATGGTGATTTCTCAAGGATAGCAATGCTTACAATAGCACTCCGGCCATATTTCTGCCTCACGAAAACCACCCTGAAATTGCAATTTGATTTATTTATTCTTTATCCCTTCAAAAACATGACTGCAGTATTGCTGGCAAGGGATAGTGTTTAGGCTCTTTGTCAGTAAGCTTTCTGTAAGAAACAAGTCTTTGTGTATGCAGTCTTAAGGGTTTTTTTATGAACAGGCTGAGGGAGATGTATTTTCTGTTTGCTAATAGCTTGGTTTGGGGTAAGACCAGAAAGAATTGATGCAGACTGTTAAGGTCTGTATGTGCGAAAGAATCCAAGCAGCTCAGGTGCCTGTAATCATAGGAAAAAATTGATTTGGCCAACTATTTAAATTTGGTCAACTCTAGTAGATAAGAAACTAAATTTTTCATCTAGTCTGAGTTTCTGTTGTTAAAAATAACTGTTGTAACAGTCACTTGTTTGGTTATTTAAGCTCTTTTCTATTAGTTCACCAGGAAAAATTTGTTGTGTATATGTGTTGTGCTGGGGATATTAGAGGTTACAATCCCATCTGCATAGTGATAGAGATTTTTTTTAATCCATTTCTTTCAAAAAGAAACTAATTCTGTTAGGTTTATGTATCTGAAATTTAAGTCTCTGCATGCAAGGTAACTATATATTTATGCTGGTTTATTCTTTCTGATAATATTACATCTTTGTAATAGACATACAAATAGACATACAAAGGCCTGAACTAGCAGAGCAGTTTGATTTGCCTCTAACATCCTGTGTGGCTTATTTGAAATGCTAATAATTTGTGTGCTCTTAACTTGGGCCCCTTTCAGTTATCTCATATTCTACACCCCAAATCCCTCTTGAACATCTTGCTCATCTGTATGTATCTTTCAGTCATGTTCTTTGCAGGTTTGTGAAGAAAGGTATGTAATTCGACTGGAGTTGTTATGCAGAGCTTACCCTTACAAAATGTGCTGCTTCGCTCTATGTGCTGTATCCTCGTTAGCCTGATTGGCTCTTTACTCTGTTGCCATCTCTTTGGGTTTATGTCCTTGACACAAAAAATACTCGAGTGTGATTTAGTCTTTCTAGGCAGCTGTAGGCAAGTTTGTGTTTCCTACTTATTTCTTTTTTGCCTGCACCAACCTATGGGGTGGTGGAGAAACAAATAAACAAACAGCGCAAGAATGAGAGTGGAAATACCAGATAGGTGAAAGCTTGTTTTGCCTCCCTGTCTTTAAAACAGACAGTAGCCATGGAGAGATGACCCAACCAACCCTGACTATCCAGACCCACCCGTATCGGAGCTGCGAGCCGGTGGAAATGTCCTACTCCCGGGGGCAGTTCCAGCCAGCCATCCGAGTGGCCGACCTGCTGCAGCACATCACCCAGATGAAGCGAGGACAGGGATATGGATTTAAAGAGGAGTATGAGGTGAGAGGAACCTTCACTCACATGAATGAGTAGAGAAGTTGCACTCACAAAGGATAGATGCTTGGGAGGGGAGGATAACGGTTTTTAAGAGCTGCTTTTCCTTAATTAGCTTACCCTCTTAATCCTTTCCTTTCTCCATCTTATTTCTGTTTATGAGGGTAGGATTTTACAGCACTAGCAATCTTTGATGGCCCTCTAGTACAAAGAAAAGTTGTTTACTACAGCAGTAAGATAACGACATTGTGCTCATCCATTAGCATGTGCCCTCTCTCCCATAAAGGTCAGAGAGTAAATATTTAACAGGTGCTGAACTCAGTGTAGGACCTGGAGTCCCACAGTCCCTTATTTATTGATGTGCTTTCGTTGACAATAGTGCAAGCCAGGCTTGAAGAAAAGGAAAAGGTTTTGTTTGAGTTTTTTGGGAGTTTCAAATACTCTGTAACAATTGATCAAATTAAATCACAGCATAATGACCTGAATGCAGCATTGTAAAGGCAAAAGTAGGAACCTTGTGTAGCTTAAAAGAAGGTGGAGTTTTCCAGTATGCTCAGACTATGTTCGACTGATGTACTCTTCCAACTCCATGTGAGGAGGGAAGCAAAGAATAAACCGCAAAAGTGAAAGTAGCCCTCCTCCTGCCACCTCTTCCCCCCAAGCTGGAATGACCAGGAATGTAATCCAAAAGACAAGAAGAAACATGACATTGGGGAGGAGTTGGAAGAGGAATATACATTTAGAGCAGAGAGAACAGAAGAAGGAAATAGCATCAAACATATGTGAGACTTTGCTCTAGCAAGCGATAATTATAATGAATGTAGTAAGCTTGTGGGAAGGCAATAAGCAATTAATATGCATAGTGGCATTAAAACTACTTAAAAATAACCTAACAGCTGTGAAAAATAAGTTACTTAATGAAAACAGCTCACTTTTCCACCCTGCAAGTAAGAGTCCATGGGGTTTGTATCGTTGATGCTGGGTTTTGCTGTAATTGAGAGGCAATCTTTTCCTGGTTGTCACCAGGGAGTATTTTTTTAATCAGATGGCATCAAAGACTGTCATAACAAATGTTTCTGGTAACTGTATGTTAACCAGGTCTAGTCACTCATGCCCCACAATCAAGTATGCTAATTAAACTATCAATATAAAGAGCTCTGTTTAATATTGAAAAAGGGTAATAATTCTCTTAGGAGATTTACTTAGCCCCCCCTTGGCCTCCATTTCCATGAATAGTACCCAAAACTACATTCAGCTCAATTACAGATGCCCTAAGATCTAGTTCTTCACGTTCAAGAAGAAAACAGGTGCTGGCATATATGTAATTATCAAAATAACACATTAGCATGAAAAATGTCAATGCAACTTTCAGCTCCACAAGTTCTGCCTTTCCCAGAAAGTGCTATCTACATACGTATATAATGATGATGACATTATATAGATTTGCATAATTCCTTTCTTTACAAGAAATAGCCTGGAGAATGCCATAAGCTCTAAAATCACATGTGCTGTTCTACCCTTCAATCAGAAGTAATTGCCTGAAGTAGCAGTCATTTTCAGTGGTGGAATTTGGTTTTCAGAGCATGGGATGCAGGCAGCATTTCAGCTCCAAATAGCTCTCGGCCACCACCGGCAATACCACAAATGCGGGGAGCATGCCAACGAGTGTTATAACTCCTGGAAGGTAGGAGGCTCAGGTTGGCTGAGAGTGGTGTCTCAGACTGGAATCTGGAGGAACACACAGCTGCAAAACTGGCTTTGCAAAACGCTTTGCAGAATGGTTGATAAAATCTTAAAAAACAATTTGATGTCTCTTTTAAATTGTGTTTTCATACACTAATATCAGTGCCACATCCAAATATGTTTTTTCTTCTAAGGAGCTGACTTTCTACTTTGCGAATTGATAGCATAGACTACAGCCTATTTAGTGACATGTTACCAAATAATTTTACTCTCATGAAAAATCACTTTGAACGGAGTGTATCAGTCACACATGACAATCTCTTATCTTCGTACATTCTCATCTCCACTGAGTAACCTGGAAATTGCATTTGATATTTGTTTAAAGTATGCCTTCACCTACAGACCATCAGAGCACAGGCAGCGTGTTTTACCAAGGGCATCTAGAAAGATATTTCTGGTGCTCGCATCTTGCACGTAACTCCACGCTGAGACGAAAAGCAGGCTGTGGTTGTGTAAGTGGTGTCACCGCCGGTGTGAAATGGATGATAACTGTGTGCGTGTGAACGTGGGAATCTGTCAGCACTTGCCATGTGGGTGTTATTTTGGGTGTGCCTGCTGCACCTGAGGCCAAAGTGTGACTTTGGGCCTTTTTGGCTGCTGCTTCTGTTTGGCAATAAAAGGAGTAGACCACAAGAGAAAAATATATCACTGGCACTGGAGGTAGATAGCACTATTTGGGATTAGGCATAGCCGTAAACGTTTAAACGGGACACGTTTAAATGTCACCTGTTCCTGTTCCAGAACGTAGCAGCCCTGATTTGTTGTGCGCTGCGGGACTGGTCCCACAGACTTAGTGTGAGCACCAATTACTGGCTAAGGAGATAATGAGCTTAAGTATCCAAACTCATTTTCCATTATGATTTAGGATGTCACTAAAGTACATTCTCGTGCTGCATTACAGAGGCTGTTTAGTTACTTTGGATTTTGTGGTTCCTTCCTCAAGCATCTTCGTATTGAGAGTCTTCAGCTTATTGAAGTCACCTCTGGATTTTAACCCTTTCATTTCTGGCTGCCTACACATCTTCTCTCTGGTCAAAAGAATAGATCCTGTGGTTCAGGCCGCGAGGTGACATTGCAAGATGTTTGGCAGCACGGTGTTACCGTAGATGCTGTCCCTGGACAATGTTAGCTTAAGGCTTTGCTATGAGCGGGAATGGAGAACTGAACTGGCTGAAATATTTCTTTTCAGGTCTTTTTTTTTTATCCAAAGCAGTTTTTAACCCTGGGTCACAGCAGAGTTGTGGGAACAGTTTTGCCACCACTGCTGAGAAGGTCGTGGCTGCAGGGAGAGGGCCAGGACTCTGTGGCAGGCTCTGAGATGAGCAGCAAGGCTTTTAATTGATGTTGTTGCCTTTGGCAGCAATACTGCAGCATTGGGGCAGATCAGCACAAATGAATGATTCAAGTTTTTGTATTTAAATTAAAAACAAACAGCAAACTAACTAAATGCATCCATTGGAAATTTAAATTGGCTTGCAGTAAGCCTCAATTTAATGTGAACACTTTAGCTATGTTTGGGCTATGTTGTTTAGAACGCCTGATTGAGATGAAGCTGACTTTTAGAGGTCTGTCCTTGTAATTTCAGATAAAAATTAGATCAATTTAATTTAAAAAGCATCATTGTAACAGAAGTTCCACTACTGGGAAGATATTTCAGTACAAATTTTACAAAACTTCTCTGAAAGAGGAAAAGTAAGAAAAGCCTGAAAATCAAGTCCACATTTTTGAACACTGAAAGTTTGCAGTTGTTAAATCAAAGAAAGAAGGGGAAGCATTTCCTGTGAAATGTGGATCAAATACTGATGCCTGAGTGATCTATCCTGATTTACCATTGCTGATAATGCAGAGAGAAGCAGACATATTAACCCTTTTTGCTATTACAGAGATACTTATTGTATGAACAAAACATTAGGGATGCTCCTCTTTTTCTGGATGCAACTGAATTATAATTTATATTTTTGCCTTTATATTTCTAACATGGTTTCAATTCTTGGTGCTGCGTTTTCAGTGATCTCCCAGAAAAATTACTTGCGCTGTACCACCCGTGTACATGCAGTGACTCCAATTTGTTCACCTGGTGTGTATAAAAGTAGGGCTATAAGGCACACCTCTGCAAAGGCAGTTTGTCCTCGCCAACCAGAGCTGTGCTTCCTCTCTTTGGAGATGGAGAGTTCTGTGACAAGCAGAGATTTCCTTGGTATTGAATGATGTGAAAAATCCTGGACTCTTAAATCTTTGGAGGCTATATCAGGCAAATATAAAAACATCAATTTCAATAGAGAATTTCCTGTTCAAATCACATGAAGGGATAGGGTTTGTAGAAAAGGGATTTATTGGACCTGAATGTATTTTCTTTGGCCAAGATAGCTTCTCCCATGTGGAAGTCATGAGAAAGGATTTTCTTTTTTTCCTTTTCCTTTTCCTTTTTCTTCTTCTTCTTCCCCCTCTTCTTCTTCTTTTCTTTTTCTTTTCCTTTTCAGATGGCTATGATTAGATATCTAATGATTGTTGCCATTCTCTGGTCAATCTGCTGTAATTTGATATTAGTGGAAAAATAAGGCACCTTTTTCCTTAGTCTTTGAAGATGAAAATGAACCTTCCTCACCTCTTTTCTTTTGCTCGGGGATTTTTTTGCTGTGTGTGGGTTTGTTGGTTGAGTTGTTTTTGCTCAGGAGATGAGCTGCTATTTGGAAACAGCTGTCTGTAAAGGAAATGTATGTGTGATCAAAGCCCTCACCAATTACAGAGTTATTACTCTTTCTCCTGGGCTTTTGAATAGGAACTCTCTGTCCCTGTCTTTTGTCAGCAGTGCTCATGGCAGTGCTGCTGTGCCTTACATTTTCTGTCCTGGAACTCCTTTGGGGGAAATTCGCAATGATCTGGTCTGCCAGGGGTTTGCTCATATTAAGTTTAATTGTAATGTCAGTGTTGTAGATTCTAATAATTGTGTCTCTCTGCTACTGCATTCAGACACTGCAATAGACCTGGATGGTTTTTGAAGGTGAATATAAATCCATTTTCTAGCACAGCTGTGTCAAGGTACCCACTGGTAGCTAAGGCAGATGTGATTCTACAATTATTGTGGTATAAAACCCCTCTAATTCCCTGGGGACCATAAGTAATACAATTTATAATGTTGCTGTTGTTTTTAGTAACGTAGGATCATGTTAGGGAGTCGATCTTGGAGGAGGCAGGTCTAGAGAGGCGATTCAGTGGGAGCTGTTCTCCTCACCTGTGTTTTCGGCACAACTCAAGGCTGCAGCCGACACCAGCGGTTTGAAGATCGTGGCTTTGTGTCCAGTTGTGATGCCAGTGATACCCGGCGAGCTGGTGCCGTTGCTGTTGCAGCAGAAAGCACTGCTGTGCCTGCTGCTTTCATCTGCCTGTGCTGACTTCCCCGAGCGTCCTGAGACAGGGAGAGGGATCATCCTGCTTCCAGGCAGTCCGGGCCATCTTCTAAGGCAGGCAAGACCATCCTTCAGCCAGATCCCATCGCAACTGCCGTATTCCTGGCTTTGTCTTGAAAAATCCTTCCTGGACGTGTCTAAAGGGGAAAGTGGCTCATTTGAGTGTGCTCAGAATAGTTATAGGACCAAGCTATAGGGTAGGGTAGCGCTGTGTGCTGGCAGTTTCCTTACTCCATCCTTTCTCAACTGAAAGAGCAGATTTTACAAAAATGACTATTTATTTCATACTTCATGAGTATGTTTTACCTCCTTTTGCCTCTCTTCCTTGCACATGATCCAAAACCCTGAGCTTTTTTTATTTTTCCCCAAAGAAAACCAGCTAGTGGTTTGTATTGCATCACCCCATTGTTAATATAGAAATAGGTGAAACCACTGTACCTGTTTGCAACTTAAATATGAAAGATTGAGCACTATGTTTCAGCCATCTGGGTTTTCTCGGAAGCGTATGTATGTGAGATCTCCACAAACCCTGTTCTGCAGGGGAAATGAGGTTAACCTGTGACTGTGCAGCCAGAAACAAATTCCCCTGATCCTTTTAGATCTAAAGTAGCAGGAGGAAAATGATTCTTTGCTGGCAGACGCCAAGAGATGCAAATGGTCTGCACCAAGCTCTGTTTTTTGCATTAGTGGATGTGCCCTTTCCTCACGAAGAGCTGTTTGCTTGGTTGACTACTGAATTATGCAGCACCTTTATTTTTGCCCTGCTCAGTCATCTTAATCCACCTGAAGGCATTGGCCAGATTTTTATAAACACTCCACTGTTGTTTATTTTGCAGGCACTACCCGAGGGGCAGACTGCATCCTGGGATACAGCCAAGGAAGACGAAAACCGCAATAAGAACAGATATGGAAACATAATCTCCTGTAGGTGTAAATTCCCATTAAACTGAGCTTTCTGTAAGGTTTTATATGCATTCTGTGGAAAAGGGTGTGCTTCAGAATCTCACTAAAAGCTGGCTTACAGTGCTGAGCATTCAGTAGTTCAATGTTTGTTACAGGCTGTGTTTCTGATTTTATTTTGTGTTTTTTCATTGTTTTTTGGTTTTTTACACATTTTTTTGTTTTGGTTTTTTTTTTTACACATTTTCTATCTACCTTGTTTTGTTTTTAATGTTTGTAATTTAAGGGCTAAATCCTTTTGTCAGATTTTCTCAGTGGGTGATGATGCCTATTTTCTGTCAATTTTTACTACATAACCTGGAGCTTTCAGTGCCATGAATGGGAACACAAAAGGAGATGCAGATACATCAGATTTTTAGATATGGATCAGAGATCAGATTTTCTCCTTCCTTGTGGTCAGTAGCCAGTGGAGCAGTCGCTGCTTGTCCCCAGAGAGCTGGTTTGATGTGTGGGACAAGCTTAGATTCTGCCTCAGAATCGCAATAAGGCAGCGGAAAATGCACTAAAGCTTCTTAGTTTTACTTCTTTCAATAACCAGTTACTGTTGATGTTATAGGAATATTGATACATCACAGACTGCAGGGCAGTGAAGGACTCCATAAAACCACTTAGGTCAGCTTTATTCTCCAAGTCAGGACTAGATTCACCTCTGTCTTTTTTATCAGATATTTGTGAAGCCTCTTCCTAATGATCTCCAAGGTTGAGCTTCCCACGAGCTCTCCAGGCAGCTTACCCCAGTGTTTCATTATTCCTTATAATGACTGGGAAAAGGAGGTGTGAGAAGTAATTCTTTTTAAGGGCTGCTCCGCAGCATGAAGTTGGAGAAGCCAAGCCTGAGAGCATCAGAACAAGAAATAAGAATATAAATGTGCTATATAAGAATATGAATGTGCCATAGATTTTCATGACTGGATAAATCTATAGAATGCTATAAGAGCAAAATTAAGTCACACTGAGTGATATATTTAGTACTGTATTTTTTCTCAGGTTAAATATGTATCTCCTGTAGAACAAACAGACTTTACTAAAGAATTAAAAAAAACCCTTGGCCACAAAGAAAGGTCATCTCACATGTAACTACTCCTCTCTTTCTTTTAAGAATTGAAAGAAATGATTCATGTAACTGTTTTGGGGGAATGACATAGAACAGCTCAGTTCAGGGACCCCAAGGTAAACATGAAGAAATCTGGAAATGAAGATCAGAAGTTTGTGAGCCCTGATCTGATCCCACGTCTGCTGCTGGCTTTCTGTGTTGGTTGTGAGCAGGTCACCAGTTCCCTCAATCTTTGTTTCTCCATGTGGAAAATGGAAGTGATAGTACTGGTGTATTACAGTTAGCGTGAAAATCATCTCCCTGACCTTCAGCTGCCTAAAAGCTCCACCTTGCTGTAAGTTTCCTGTGTTCCTAGTGGCAAAGAGAGATACCTCCCGACAGAGGTTCAATTTACCTGTCTATACAATTAGCTTAGATTAAATTAGTTTAAGACAGATGGATCATCCACCTATAACAACTACACACTGGATTGAAGATGGAAGTGCTGTAGCATGATATAGGGAAGGAAATGTGAAAGACTCTTTGTTTCTCTGTACGATTTTGAGGAAGCGTTTGACATAATTTAAAAGTGGAGGTGAAAAGAGACAAGACTGTGTGTGATAGCTACCATCTAATTTATGTTGAAGGTGGCCACAAAGAAAACGTTGAACTCCAAGTGAAATGTGAGAAGAAATTAAGGAAGCAAAATCGAGGAAGATAAATGGGGTATTATCTAAAGGGAGGGTGTTCACAAAGATGAATTGTTGTCTAATGAAGAGTGATGTTAGCCTTTTTAGCTATAAATATAAATACAGTAGCAATACAGATAGGAGCTAATGTTCTTGAATAAGGGAATGCAAAATGTAATCAAAGCTAAGGAAGAAGTGTCTGCAGTATAAAGTATAAGAGAAGCTCAGGTTTGAGGGCTGTTGGGAAAGATCTCAGAATGAGATTGAGAGGGTGGAAAGGCATAGAGAAAGAAAGCAAGGTAGTGAAAGAGAAGAAGGATGAAGAAGAGTGGAAGGTAAATAACAAAGTTGAGTGGGTTTTCTTCGCTTTGAATATATATCAGAACAAAGTTTGAGGAGGAGACAACAGCTCTTCTAAAAGACAGCAAGGAGAATTTAGTAATGTGCAATAAAAACTTATAAAATGGAGTGAGATCCTTGCTTTACTTTGAAGAGGCTAGGGAGAGAGAAGGGAGGATGCCTGAGGAAGGAGCATATCATTCATCAGACATTTTGTAAAAACACTGGGAAATTAGCAGTGGTGTCACTGGCTAAGCCTTGAGCCAGACCCTACTGATAGGTGACGTTGGGCAACTTCCCTGAGTAAAAGCAATGACAGGATCCAGAACAGAGAATTGATAGCAGAGCTGAGAATAGCAGGAGAGTGGTTCCCTCTGGGCAGATCATGAAAACGAATTGTGCTCAGTGGGTACAAACTGTGCAAAAGCCTGAGCAGAGGAGGGGAGGTGGAAAACGATTATACCCTTAGCTGCTTTGTTGTACGAGAATGGTAATTGCTGTTAAACCCAGAGTATGCACTGATTGCTTCTACCAGTTTATTTGGTAAAAGGCTGCAGATGGCAATTAACGTTATTTATTTAATCACAGTTGCCATTTCATCACTCCTGGAACAAGATATCCCATGCCTTTTGGGGAGTGGATTGAAAAGTCAGGTTTTGATCTAACTTTTGTAACTGCTTCCAAGACTTTTGTTAAAATGTGCGTTTGCAAACTCTTGCAATAAGTAGCATTGCTCAGTGAATCACAGCAGATTAGATCTTGTCTTTATGGCCTTCTGGGTAATAGTACACTTACAGGACTGTTTTTCTCAGCTCACTGCTTTCCCAGGGCTGTATTAACGTCGTGCCTCTCTATGAAAGCCGAGGTCTTACTGCCAGCCCCAACATCTGCTGTTCTTACATTTGCAAACCAAAACTGCAGATGAGGCTAATCTGCTCATGGAGAGGAGATGCAAGAGAGCTCTAAGCTCTCCCATGCTTTAGACCCTGGCTTTTTAGTGTTCCATTCAATCTGCAACACTGGTATGTTTTTTAGAGAAAAGGAAAAGCTGAGGAGTGGATTGGGGGTCTGTATGACCACAGAAATCCACTGTTGATGGTGGAAAGATGCACTGTAATTGCACAGATTTGCCACGCTGGAAGAAGCTGCCCTACTTGAACTTTTTATTATATCATCAGAGTCCATGAGCTTTGCTCCTGTGCTTTGGGTACAAAAGCTGTAAACACAAAGGCAGTTGTGGAGATGCAAGATTTTTCTTTAGGGGGCAAGGGTAGGTGGTGTATCCATTTATGTGCTGAAGCAAAATGATTTAAATTTGCTTTAGGGCCTAGATATTGAGGCCTTCAAAGCACATCAGCAAGTGGTTGTTACGGGAGGGATGTTGAGCTTTTGTGGGTTGAGCTGAACCCGTTACAGAGAAGAGAAAATATCCAGAAGCTACATGGGACCTTTGGTTCTATTCTGTTTCTCCCCATCTTGTCCAGATTTAGAGCCATTACATTATAAGAGAGTAAAAACTCTCAGGTGAGAGCTAAGGATATAAAGACACAAGATTGTGTTTTGCTTCGACTTACAGGAGAGCACTTTATTTCCCTTTCTTTTCTCCCTTTACTGAGCATAATATTACAGGAGGAGGTCAGCACTCACAGGAGTGCTCGAACCGGTGCTGCTTTAGACACACCCTCCCATCTGCAGCGGAGCATCTTCCCACTGGCTTTAAAGTCTTGTGACGGTCCATTAAAAAATATTGAGTTGATGACAAAAGACAGTAGAGAAATTTGCTTCATTTCCTTCATGCTTTGACTACCGTATGCTTCGGGCTGGAAGACTGTGAATTGATCAGAGAATTTGGTGGTGGAAGAGATGAACATCAGAGAGAGATTAACGGAGCTCTTAGCTGAAACGCAGGTGGAATGTGCTTCTTGGCCATGGACAGGGATAATGCATAAAATAAAAAAAACCCCACATGTCAGTATTGGATTTAGAATAGAAATCTTTTGTCTTGCAAGCATTTTTATTCCACGGTTTCTTCCGTAGTGCCTAAACTCTTGCTTGTCTGTGCAGTGTCCATGGTATGTGATCCTGAGAGGGTGGATATTTCACACCTCGCTGTTAGCCAGTTCTCAAGGCACGGTCCAGGACCAGGAGGGAAAGAAAGAGGAGGTCAGTGTGCCTTGGGAGGGCAAATCATCCTTTCCTACCAGAACTGGGTTGAATAATTTCAAAAGATGTCTGTATTTCTCCAGTAACTGTGTGGGGAACCTTGACAGCCGGTTTAGACTAGGTTAATAATATTTAGATGGCAAAAGTTGTGTGAGATTAATCCAGTGCTGGTGTCAAAATGAGATGTGGAAAAATTGCAATGATATTTCAAATGATCACTAATGGGAATTTTGACAGAAGTTTGAAATGATAACATTTTTGTGGGAGCACAATGCTTTTCAGTGAAATTCGTGTCATTTTTAAAGTCTGTTTTAAGACAAATTTTCAGTCAAAGTACTCTTCATACAAATTGAGAGTTCTTCTAGCTTGCGTACAGACTATAGTAAACAGGGAGAAATAAAATAATTTATACATTTGTTAAAGTATATGTCCATTTTTTGCAGTCCTGAATGTTACAGACGTGCAATTTTTCTTCTGTTTGTCCCTCCTTTTTTTAAAGTTTCTTATAATCCATTTGTAACACACGGTGATATGATGTCTGATAAATCTACAGAAGAGTTGAGCGACACTTTCATTTCAGTGTGCCAAATACATAGTCTCCTTGGCTAGTGTAGTCCAGTGAAGAGGGTGCAGAATCAGAAATAAATTCTGACCATTGGGAGAAGATATAGTCAAGACATTTGCTATTCTTTAAAAAGTTCTTTAAAGTCTATAGATGAAGAAAACTAAGTACAAGATCATTACTGTTAGCAGCATAATAAGCTGTATTGGGTTTTGCCCCTTTCCATTAAAAAAAAAAAAAGCCAAATAAATTCAAAATTTTTTTAGGGGAAAAAAGGGATTTACGAAGTAAGTTATTTCATGAACTTTTATTCAGACTGTGCTCCTAAACTTATGAGCAAGATTAAAGCACCGTTAAGACATCATTAATATTTTGTGTGCTCACCATATACACAGGGTTTTTTTCTGCTGCACTGTTCACAGTCATAAGAGAAATAAATCTTCCACAGGAATTAATCTCATTTTTGTAAATTACACAGCAAAATATTGTGAATTCTGTCCTCCTGAAGCAATGTTCGACTAAAAGCATTTTTCATTCGATCCCAAAATATAATTGGACCTAAACCTGAATGTCATCTTTTTTTAAAAAATCACCATTTCCAGTGGTCATTTCTTCATCCATTACTGTTCTTCACAGATAGAATAATGTCAATAAACCAAATATGGTTTATTTGACTTAAAGGGACAAAAACAACAATACTTTTTACAGCTACAGAGAACCTTTTCTTTATCCATAATTGTCTTAAATGCACAGACCTCTTCCGCAGTCTCCTTCTCAGGTCTTTTCACATCTAGCTCCCTCCGGGGGTATTCATCCTGTCCATTTGAAGTTTTTAACTAAAGAGTGGTTCAAAGAGCTGAAACTTAATTTGGGGGTTTGGTTCTATTAAATGAAGAGAGGCAGGTTCTTCTTTGAGGGCTATTCAGAGCACTTCATCTCCACACCGTGCATAGACAGTGTCTTTGTCCCACTCAAAAAATCAACCTGAGATTCTTTTCTCCTGCCATTAGGGTCATTTTTGGTCTTATCACTTGTTACTTCTATTGTTGCAATAAGTTAAGACTTTCATAAGGTTATTATATTGTGGCATCACAAGAGGAGTTAGTAAATATTCCCCTCCCAACCGTTAGCTCTAGGGTTTTTTTTTTTTCTTTGCTTTTATTCTGTGTGATTCTTAACTAGCCTTAGTTTCCTGCCTTGAATTGCAAGTGTGAAATTGTCTACGGGAGATTTTGTGTATTTCATCTGGATGTCTGGTTTAATCAGCTCTTTGTCTGTCTTTGTGAATTGCTCTAAGTATAAATTCTTTTGTTGTCTGTCTAACCACATGATTTACTGCAACTCCTAGTGCAGTTGCCTTGAGCGCAGGTAATTGTCTAGAGTTGGGAACAACATGAGCACTCTGAGAAATATGCCTGCCTCCACTGCATCTACAACGGTTATATTTATTAATACAAATATAACAGAGCTTTTGATGGGTTCACCTGCATAACCTTTTTTGAATGCAAATATGGGATTTGATAAATACAGAAACGTGGCTGTGGGTTTTGGGTGTGAGAATCTCACCCAAAGAATGAGCAGAGTATGAGAATCATTGCTTTACATAACTGAATAAAAATTTAGTGTTTATCCAAATCTTGGTTTTCAGAACTGCACGCACATCTGTCTTCACAATTATTATCTGGTTCTACATTTAATAAGTGGTGACTAAAACCCTTTTTGAGTGAGTTATTGCAGAATCACACCTTGTATTTTTATGTTTCATTGCTACAATTCTTTTTAATTGAATGTAAATCATGCTTAGGCCTGTATTTTGCAAAATGCTTCTAAACATTAATGCTTTACTGACTGAGAGCTAGGGTCTACAGAGCTGGTAGAGAGGAAATAAACTTAACTCTATATTATACTACCTTAAAAAATCCTTTAAAACTGAACCCAGCATGCCCAGCAGTGACCTCTGTAACTCCGTAGCCTTTGCCAAGCAACTGGCCCTTAGATAGCAGTTGTGCAATTAATTGCATACCAGTGCTGGGATTGCCAGACCAAATCAGCTCAACAGCCCAGCTCGCGGAGTATCTCCTTTGACAGAGCCCAGCACCAGCTGTTTCAGAGAAAGATCAAAATATTCCCTTGGTGGAAAATCATGACATAATCTGCCCGCGGGGGTAGTTCCTTTCTGCGTCTGAACTGTAGAGCATGCTGGGAGGTGAAAAGATTGATATCTGTTATTTTATTGCCTTATCCAAAGTAACTTTGAACATCCTCAAAAACATGAACATTTCTAATTTTTTTTCTTTTTTAACACTGCCTTGATGCTGTTTTGTTGCTGTGAGTTCTGTGGGTCGCACAAAGGAACGTTGCTCTGATTTCCTTTGGTATTTCCTTTCAGGTTTCTGGGTTGCCCCATTTCTTATTTGCAGGATTTCATTTGCCATTTTACCCTCCTTAATCTTTTATATCTCTGTCGTGACCTATTTATTTTTATCCTGATCTTGACAGTTTTAGCTCTTGCCTCAGTTTCCATAGATCAGAGGAAGCCAGGGAGGCTTGAAGATGGCTTTTGTGGATGGAGATACATCCTGCAAAGATCTGTCCCGAGACCCCCAAAGCAAGCAACGTCTGTGGGCAGTCTAAAAGCTCTATAAGGATTATGGTGACAGCACTGAATTTAATGAACACAGGGTATGAATGAACAGTAACCTAAGGATCTAAATGTTACATCTTAAACACAAAAGAAAGGGCTTGTAGGAACAGGAATACCTGTGATATTCTTTCATGTTTTATTATTGCAAGTGTTCAATTACCCATGTGCAGGAATCAGCAGATAAAACACTTAGAAACTCCTCTTTATCGTTACTGTCACTTTTTTTTCTTTCCTTCTTTCAGATGATCATTCAAGAGTGAGATTGCAGCTGCTGGATGGGGACCCTCACTCTGACTACATAAACGCCAATTACATAGACGTAAGGCTCTGGACATTCCCGCTGTGACAAACGCTCCTGCTGACAAGTCTGCTTATGAATTTGGTGCATCTGACATAGGGACAGACTGTTGATCTGATATGAATGACAGCTGAACATTATACAGACATCATGTCGTGACAGGGAGAAGCTTCTCAGTCTCCAGTTTATTCTGTCTGGCCAATCTGGACAGATGGAGATTCCCTATGTTTGACAGATCCACCAACATAAGTGGAAAGTGGGCTAAATGGCTTATGCGGAAATCAGTATCGGGCCCTCGCAATAGCATTAGATATCTGAGACTTATCAACTTCTTCCAAAGTTGAAGTGCAGAAAGCATGTAAATAGATTGGCATTTTATTTTTTTTAACATTATAAAATGACATCCAAAAAGCAGCCTCCCTCACACGCACAGAATGATCAAATTGAACATGCGTTTCAAGTATAGATCTCCTAAATCTCAGGAACATGACGGTGTTCGGAAGAGTTTCTTTACAGCATGAAAAATGCACCTCGTAAAGTTAGATGAGGCTAATATGCAGCATTTTCATACAGAGGCAAATGCAAACTTTTCTTCTTTTTCAAACAAGAAGGTGCAGCATTTTGCCTATTAGTTGTCACAGTTGCCCACAGGTTAGTCACAGGACTTGTGTTTCTTTGAGGAAACAGTGAAACCTGCCCCATTCCTGTTCTCTCTTTGGCATAATGAGATCTTACTATTGAGCCTGAGCGAAATACCATCACTGTAAAATCTCATAGGGCAACCTAGTTGCCTTTCTTCATTTATTCCACAACCAGTGTTAGTACACTGTTAAAAATGCAGCAGTTGTTGGTACCTGGAAAGTATAAAATACATGGTGTGCTTTGTCTGAGCTGTGATCTCGCAGACCGTCACATATTTTCTTTTTTTCCAGGGGTACCACCGGCCTCGCCATTACATTGCAACTCAAGGCAAGTTCATTCTTGTATGTCTAAATATTTGTAAAACCACTGCTATTTGAAACTGTTGTAAGAGCTATTTATAGGGTGACATCTTCTGTTTTGGGGAACATCCGAAAACTTGGTATAGGAGCACAAAAGGGAAGGATATAGAATGTTCCAAGATTTTAAGGCACTGAAATGCAAAACCTTCACTACAGGAATAACGAATGCTACAGACTTGGAGGGCAGTACAATCTATGATGTGTCCTTCATGCATGAAGTACGAGATCAGAACTAAAAGGGACTTTACAGATCTTGGGTTTACCTTCTGGAGTGAAATTGCTTGAGGAGGGCACTATGAATAAGCCTGTGACTGATGAACTTTTGGTTACTGGGAACTAGTAGGAAATGCATTTGAACACCACCTTCTGTAAGTTAGTTGATGAGTTTCCTATGCCTTAAGGGGTGGGGGGAAAGAAAAAAAAAGAAAAAACCAACACAGTTCAATGCTGAGGGCTATCCATGTTAGGTGACAAACCTCCCTACTCCTGTTCTTTACAACAGGGTGCTGTTTTCCTGCATCACTGGCCAAACTCTTATGCCATGACCACTTCCTCTACCATTATTTGTCCTCATTTTTGTGCATTCCTTACCTGCAAATGCGATGTTCATAGAAATGACTCTTTTCTTAAATTCTGCTTTATGACTTCATTGCTGGCTTGTCCCTATCAAAAGAGTAAAAAAACTAAAAAAACATTAGAATAAAACTGGCATTTGAGGATGTACAGGTATAGGGAATGCAGCAAGGCAGAGAACATGGCGGATGGAGTATGGGCAGAGTGGGTGAAAGGAGTCCATGGGAAGGTTTTGTCTACAGTGTAGAAGAGAGGAAGGCAACAAGGTCAGAGAGATGCTCTAGTCTAATAAACATCTTGTGAGCACTGCCTCTTTGGCTGTTGGAACCTGAAATTTTTCTCTCTGGGAGAACTTCAGAAAAGGGCTAATTTCTGCATGTTTCCTTCCTCCTTCATACTGAATAAATGTTAAAGTGTGAAATGGAGGAATTTTAGTGCTGCATCAGGTACAAATTTCAATACAGCCTTAACTACAGAGTCACCATAGGGTGCATCCATGTCCTATCGTTTATACACGATTACCTACTGGAGCCATCTCCACTGTTTACAATACAGCCATCAACTCTGTTTCCAGCATGCTAGAACCTTAAATACCCCCTGCAAGGAAGTGTCCGATCTCTTAAAGAGTTCCAGGCTGTTCGTGTCTATAACCCTGAATCGCAGAGGGATGCTGTGAAAGGGAGAGTTAGGATCCTGTGGGAACAGGGCAATGGCTGGGGAACAGCTGAAAAGAGTTGTTGGCATTCAATACACTCTCTTAAGATGTCTCTTTGTCTTTTCTCCTGCCCCAGGGCCAATGCAAGAGACAGTGAAGGATTTCTGGAGAATGATTTGGCAAGAAAACTCTGCAAGTGTTGTCATGGTCACCAACTTGGTGGAAGTGGGCAGGGTAAGGGTACCACTTTCCCAACACATAAAGCCAAACCAGCACTGGGTATAACACGGTGCCACTGTTGAGGCAAGCTCAGCAAGTGAAATGCCTTTTGCTTACTGTAGTAAGGGAATGAATTAAGCCACTCTGGGTTTTTCTCTAAAATGCTAGATTTTGTAATACTTAGCTGCTTCTCTTCTAGACAAATAAGGATTGTGCTCCTGGTGTAAGTCTTGGCTTTAGCAGAGTTATACAAATTTATGCTAGCTGAGAAACTATCTCTTTTTTCAGTACAGAAGAAAAAATGTACTTCTGTAAAAATTATTCTTTATCTGTATAATTTGAATACTTCTCTACCCACAAAAATCTGGAGGGGCGAGAACATGTGACTGGTGTTCAAACTATCAAAAGAACTCTTTAAATGACAGTTCAAAGCCCAGAGTTTCCAGTCACCTCAGAAGATCGTTATTCCGTGGTGGTATGAGATTGTGCACAGCTGGATCCTGGGGCCACCCAGCAGCTTTGGCCTCCTCAGCACCCACCGCTTTGCTCTCTTGGACTCAGATGAACCAGGAGTCCCTATGTCAGCAGAAGGCAATTGCCAAAGCCCACGGTGGGAGCAAACGTGACTAACTCAAAAGGCGTAGTTCTAGACTTTAGGGAATAAAAAAAAGGCGTGCCTGGGGTGGCTTTCCCCAGCCTATTCTTCCCACTCCTGGTGGTCTTTGGTTTAGAGACATTCTTGGCCAGAAACTGGAGCCCTTAAAAATGTTGTCCTAATGTTTGTCATCTTCCACTGCTTTGGTACTAAGAAAAATTTAAATTATGTTTTATTCACAGCCATTAGTAATTCAGCTGTTTTGTATTAGATTTCCTTTAGACCTCATGGTTGAACGCTAGCTGGCTCTGTTCATTTATTGTTATTTATTCTATTTTACCTTCTACTGACACTTCAGTTTGAAATAAATGCCTCTGTGTAAAAAAAAAAAACCAACAAACCTACATTAATCATATTTAATATTTATAAAACCCATTCCGATTATGACTGGAACTGGAACATGAAACCTGCTTCGCAGTAGGTAATTGCTTCAGCTTTTAGGTGCTGTTCCACTCTTTCATGCTGGAGCTTTTACTAACTTGATAATCTTTGTTGGCCTAATTATCCCTTAATATCCTTTCTAGAGCTTCACAGCCTTGGCTTCAATTTCTACTACTAGTTTTGCACATGGCTTCTAGAAGTGGCTAAGCTTGGGATATGTTTACGTGACCAGGAGATTTATTTCTTGAGCCTTAGCTGAGGCCTGTCACAGTTGGTAAAATGTCAAATTTGTGTCCACATCTGATAAGGAAAGCAAGTTTAATGTATCGACAAGTATCTCACAATACCTATGAACTGAAATTCTTTGGCTAAACAGAGAGAGTTCAGAATTACAGTAGCAATAGCAAGAGCATAGATTTTTCTCAAAGGGGATGGTAGTAGTGACTGCTAGTTATTCTGTAAACCTGATATATGGTCAGGGCATGTATGGAAATTCAAGGAAGACTAGTTCAAAGAAGAGCTAAATGCATCCTTTTCATTTGTATTCACAACAGAGGAAACTGAAAAAAATCCTCCCTGTGGTTTCTTTATATTGTAAAGGAATTTTGATCTAATTTATACAGTTAATTTTGACAAGATCTGTACGTCAGAAGAAAACCCAATTTGCATTGGCTTCAGCTTGAAAGTGGAGTAAAATGTAGGCCAGCTGTGACTCAACTTTTAGCTACTTCCTCTCAATATTTTCTTTTTTCCCCCCAGGTAAAGTGTGTTCGATACTGGCCAGATGACACAGAGGTCTATGGAGATATTAAAGTCACATTAATTGAGACAGAACCATTGGCAGAGTATGTCATACGCACATTTACTGTACAAAAGGTAAGGAAATATTCAATCAGCTGAAATGTTGGTACACTTAATTTGTATTCAGAAATGTGAACTCTGGGAAACATATCCAGAATGCTCTTGGAGATGGGAGCTGTTACTATTTGGACAGGTTTCACTTCAGAAACCTAAATTTTTGACAGAGATTCCAATTTTGGACAAATGATTTTAAAAGAACATCTTGATGTAACCACAAAAGTAGAATCCACAGTGCATGAAGCTTAATGCATCCAAAAGCCAGCAGATAGTTGATGGTATGCCAGGAATAATAACTGTCATGTTTCACAGTGGCAGATTACAGATGAAAAAAGGTATCAGTTAAAATGGATGCCAGGTAGGGTCCCCTTTCAACAGAAATAAAAATATAATAAAGGCAAGAGTATAAAAATTATCCCCAAATCGGCAGGATTTGGAAGATTTTTGTTACGTGTAATTAGAAATTGGAAGTCTAAGTGTCAGAGTATTCCAGGCCTGTCCAAATTACTCCTCAAACATTCAGTAAGTGGTTTTTAAATGAACTTCAGCCACACTGGGAATATTGTTCCAGTTTTCTAATACATCTGCTCCATATTTCATTAAATCCCTGAAAAACTTGGTAAAAAATGCTAATGCCAAAATCTGACAGGTTAGAGGACCTGCTGCTGGATTCCACCTACATTTCCTGTATGATAAAATGTCACAGCTAATTGACGCTTCTGTGTTACCCTTTGCAGGGCATATACAAGTAGTGTCAATTTTCATGTACCAATAACTTGGTCTCATCAGAAAGGCTGAGTGATGGGTCTGGGTAAGAGTTTCTGCCCTTTTCACCACCAGCTGTAATCTCAAACTGAGATTTTTTGGCAAAAGATGGCAGAAAATCTACCGTTGCCTGGGGCATGCCCACTCTGTAGGTGTTGATTCCCCAGGCTGTTACTTCAGCGCCTCAAAAAGGATTTAAGAGTGACTCCTTGGGGATTTATGGCAATAACACCAAAGGAGGCTGGATGAGTGCAACCACGCTATGCTGGGCCTGAAGTCACCCTGTAAAGTGTCTAATCAGCTGGGTTTGAACCTCTAATACACGAAGTTTGAATTGGGAGCTGACATTCACCTTCATAGTCCTCAGTTGCATGTTACCCACTTCATTTGTACTTGGAGTTCAGCTTGAAATCTCTCGGAGTGAAAAGTTGCACAGGACACGTTCCCGCATATAACAAGAGCTAACTGCTTGTTCAGCCCTCTGCATGTGGGAAAAGGGCAATGATCAGAATATGCTGATTGCAGTCTGATGGAAGAAAAATAGAGGCTGTGTTGTCTCCTCAGAAAGGCTACCATGAGATCCGAGAGATTCGGCAGTTCCACTTCACCAGCTGGCCAGACCACGGGGTTCCTTGCTACGCCACAGGTCTCCTGGGCTTCGTTCGTCAAGTGAAGTTTCTCAATCCCCCAGAAGCGGGACCCATCGTTGTGCACTGCAGGTATGCAAGCTCTTTGTCTGAGCCTTTCTTCCATCAGCTTTTTCAGCTTTTTTCCTTTTTTCATCTTGTCTGGCAATAATCAGCTACAGTTTGTTTGTTTAAGAGTATAATTTGTGGGCCTCATGGGGAAACAAAGTGGAATTTGGTTTTCTTTTCTAAAGTGGCAGCTCTGGAGCTTAGCTGGCATGAATTGGAGATGATATAAGTGGGTCAGAGAGGGCCATTCAAATGTAGAAGGCTCTCTGGTGGCCTATACTCTCTTAGATGCTCATACCAGAGCTGGGAAAATGGTAAATATCTGGGACAGCCATTCCAGTCATTATCTACAACAAACCTCACATGGCAGAAGGGACAATGCTTACAAAAAGACAGGGCTGCCAACAGGGAATTTCAAAGCAACTTTGCTTTTCTTTACCCACATGCACTGCAGTTCAGCTTTGTCCCAGCCTCAACAGCATCAATCTGAAACGTTAGTCTGTCTTCCTGGGTCTGGATGCCAGCCATTGTGCATCTTGGCCTCCTCAAAGCCCAGGAGCTGGAAGAGGAAAGTCAGGCTGAAAACCTTCCCACTGCCTTCCAGCTAGTAAATAAAAGGGGAATGCCTGAGGAAACCTCGCTGCTTGGTTTACAGCTGTGAAAATTCAGACTATTGAATCACGTGCTTGCTAACTCCCTGGCTGCTGCTGTTACTGGTGAAGGCTCTTCTGCTCTGTTTTCTTCCAATTGAGCTTAAAGCCCTACTGTGCAAGGCACTATAAGAATATACAGGAGAGTGTCCCTAACATGAAGAACTAACAGTCTGAGGTGCGGTCAGGCATGCTGCTGGTGGTGGGGGAGCAGACACACACGCACGGACTGGCATCAGAGTTAGATGAATTCAAACGCAAGGAAAGCTTGTATTGGGAATAGTGTGGCCAGCAGGAGCAGGGAGGTGATTGTCCCCCTGTACTCAGCACTGGTGAGGCTGCACCTGGAATGCTGTGTCCAGTTTTGGGCCCCTCAGTACAAGAAGGACATCGAGGTGCTGGAGCGTGTCCAGAGAAGGGCAGCGAAGCTGGTGAAGGGTCTGGAGAGCAAGTCTTCCGAGGAGTGGCTGAGGGAGCTGGGATTGCTTAGTCTGGAGAAGAGGAGGCTGAGGGGGGACCTTATCGCTCTCTACAACTACCTGACAGGAGGGTGCAGTGAGGTAGGTGTCAGTCTCTTCTCCCAAGTAATTAGCGATAGGACAAGAGGAAATGGCCTCAAGCTGTGCTAGGAGAGGTTTAGATTGGATATTAGGAAAAATTTCTTCACAGAAAGAGTGGTCAAGCATTGGAACAGGCTGCCCAGAGAGGTGGTGGAGTCACCATCCCTGGAGGTGTTCAAAAAACAGGCAGACGTAGCACTTTGGGACATGGTTTAGTGGGCATGGGGGTGTTGGGTTGATGGTTGGACTGATGATCTTAGAGATCCTTTCCAACCTTAATGATTCCTAGTTTTTACTTTCATTAAAAAAAATAATCCAGCCCCCAAGCCAGGAAACACGAAATTATGACTCTACCCTTAATTGGTTTAGTGGTGGACTTGGCAGCGTTAGGTTAATGGTTGGACTGGATGATCTTAAAGGTCTTTTCCAACCTAAACGATTCTGTGATTCTATGAAAGACATTGCTACAAAAACAGTTTGGGTTTGTAGCAGCTACTTCTGCAGTGCTCGGGCCATAGCTCAGGGCACATGTTCTGTAAAAGATGTGGCTGGAGCATAAGGCTAGAGGACAGAGTTGGCTATCCCAAAATCTCACCCCTAATCAATCCACAGGCAATTATGTCTAAGTGCCATGCTGTGTGATCAGGAAGAAAGAGAGAATACATCCCACAACCACTTTAAAAAGGAAAATCAATTAAATCTTACCTTTTTAAAACAGTTTTGGGTTGGGGGGGTGTTTTGTTTTGTTGGGTTTTTTAGCAAGCAATGAATCAGTTTTATAATAAAATACAGCTAAGCTTGAGGAGCTGGCAGAAGGGAATTCATTCAGAGCTCAGGGCCTGAATTTGCTACCTTGGTGCCATGACATGGGTCTGGCCCTGGAAGGAGTCTGAACCTGATTCATTGTCACCAAGAAAGCAAGGAGAAACTTTTCATCCTTCACATTTTAATGAATAAATGCCATTTCCTCTCTGTTATTTATCTGCTTTTGAATTTTAATGACTTGCTTTAAGTGGTAATTACCAAATTCTCCCTACCGATGCCTGGCTGGATAATATCACTGTTCGATATTTATGAAGTGCCAGGATCCTCTAAATATAGAAATGTTATAACTATTTGTTAAAATTCTGAAAAGCTGAGAGATAAAGGGAGAGGAAATGCCACTTATTCATTAAAATTCTGCAAATGAAAAATATCTTCTCTCTATTCAGCAGCTGATTAATCTGGTCCATTAATTTATGGTCATTCATATCTCCTTGCTTTCGGCTCTGCTGGAGTTTTCATGCGACTGAAGTTTCCCTGATTTGAGCTGAATTTTCCTTCTTCCTTTGGAGTAATGTGAAGAGACGTTCTCCTCTCTCTATCCTTCACACCTAAACAGCTTGGATGATTTCCCAGGAGGGAAGGAGGACACAATGACAACACAGTTTTGCAGGAGATGGTCCAATTCTCGCAAGCAGCAGGGAGCTCTAAACTGAAGGTTTTGAGTAGCCTCGAGCTCCTTTCTCTATAATTTTACAATCCACCACTTGAAATCGCCCTCTTTGGGACCAAACTCCTCCTGATTAAAAAGGGAAAAGAAATGTTTGAGGTGGAGGACTGAGCCGCTTTCATCATGCCCACTTCAGTAAACGTGTGCATGCCTTTTAAAGAGTCCCATGGAAGAGAATTTCTGGAATTGTGTCTATTTGCAGCCTGGTGGCTGCTCTCCCACATCCTCTGTGATGAAAGGTGTGGAAGTGAACTGACCTGTAAAAACATAATGATTATTTTTGGGGAGTAATTTTTTTGTTGATGTTCAAAAACACAAAGCTTTTTTTCCTGCTACCTGGGTCCATTTCCTTTTCAAGAAATATTATTTCACCTCATTCTCTTAAATCCTAAGCTAATTTAGCTATATGCAAAAATCAACCCAACAGGGAGAGGGGAGCGGCTTCCAAGAGAAGATAGCTGTGTCCGTGATGCAGTTATTTTCTCCTCCATAGAGTCCTGCCTGTCCATGATCCCTTGATCATGCAGACCCTCGTGTTTTTTTCTTTTTTTAGTGCTGGGGCCGGGAGAACAGGGTGCTTTATTGCCATCGACATCATGCTTGACATGGCAGAGAATGAAGGCGTGGTGGATATATTTAACTGTGTGCGAGAGCTGCGATCCCAAAGGGTCAATTTGGTACAGACGGAGGTAGGTGCCAGCAGGTCTCCTCTTACGATGTACTGCTTTTCTGTCAGCTTCTCCGCTGAACAGGAGCCCAGCAATTCATTAAGTCAACACTTGCTTGCTCTGTGATGTGATTATACAGAACTTTCGGTGGCTAAACATGTCCAGATGTGCACCAAATCACATTCACTGGCAGCTACTCAGGGCCTCTAAGACAGGAGGGCAAACCTTGAAGTTTAGGTCTTAGCATTGCTGATTAATTTTATTCTCATAGTAGAAAAAAGCGAGCTCCTGAATCCTCTCATGACTCATTCATAGGTATACTGCAGACTCCAGTAGTACCTAGTTTATATCAATCGCAAGCTAAACAAATGAAACATCCTTGATTCAAGCTTTGGGTGCTGATTAAGCAAGCTGCTCCGTCACGTAGAGTCTAGCAGCTGCACAAACTTCTATGGAATTGTTATCCTGCCGCACAAGTTTTATGTGTGTGCTTCAATGCCTTCCTCTCCTGAGAGACAGGACAATAGCCTGGAACAGAGAAGGGCTTTTAACTTTGTTGGACTTCTCATATTTACTTCAGGGAAAGAGCTTTACCCCGAATACCAAGAGTCCAGGGGTTTTGAAGAGGCAGAAGGAGCAGACCTGTTAGTACAGTTGTTTCTCTGGTGTTATCATAGGTCCAAAGCACAATCCATCCCTGACCATTGCCTCGTGATTGTGAACAGAAAAGCTTTACACCCTGATTTCCACCTCAGCCCACCCCGATTTTGTCCCAACGTTCCTGAGAGTGGTGACTTCCCATTTTACTTGTAAATTTGAAATGAATACATGAGACCTCACATTCAGTGATGGATGAAATATGCTCACAAAGCTGTCACATAGCACACTGTGTAATTTGTCTCCACATGAAACAGAGCCAAATATGCATATCAGGCATGATTTAAGGAAAAAAAAAGAAAAGCGTGGTATTTCATGATCTGTATTGAAAATACGATTTTAATATCTTATTCCCTTCCCTGTGCAGGAGCAGTATGTATTTGTCCATGACGCCATTTTGGAGGCATGTCTGTGTGGCAACACGGCCATTCCAGTTTGTGAGTTCAGATCCATATATTACAACATCAGCAGACTAGATCCACAGACCAATTCCAGCCAGATAAAAGATGAGTTTCAGGTAATTTCATATGTCTCAGTCACTGCAGTTGGTGTATTGAAGGTGTTTAATCAATTTCTATGTGTTATTTTATGATTTCCAGCAGAGCAGAGAAGGGGGACACTGAGCCAAGGTCTGATTTCAGCTGATTTTTGTTGTTTTACTACTGGATCAGGCAGAGATTTGTTTTTGAGCATGGACTTTTCAGCCGCTGGCAAGGAAAAAAATTTCCGATCACTTCAGTAGAGCAAGGGTACTAATTTTCACACGTAATGTTGTACTTCTCATTTTAACAAATATTCTGTTGTTCATTTTCTTCTGTAATTTATGCAGAAACATTTATGCCTCAAGGTCCCTTATTATCTGTTCTCATGGCTCATATGCTGCTTCTTGACAATCAACTTGTTGACATCCTTCCATACAAAGGAGAAAGTGAGCTCAGTGAGCGTTACTGTCTCTATTACTAATTTTCAATTAACTGAATCCCTCAGTTCACTATGTATGTTTTGCCAAGTACCTGGGGTGAGAACTGAAATGCCATGTAGTAAAACTCACAAGTGCTAGAGTTTTGCCTGGGGCAAGCAATGAAAGGGGGACCCCTCCACCTTTTGCTATCACCACTGCTTTTCCCACCCTAATAAATGTGCTTGGGACACATGAAGCACAAGCCCTGGGCAGCACCGTTGCACACTAGAGAACTCACCCTGCAGAACAGTGAACTAAATTTTCCAGTCTTATTCCCCATATATCTGTAAATCCCCTTAGGATTTTCAGCTGACACCGATGTATTGAAAAACCATAATATTGTGGGAAATTTGGGGCAAGGTGAGTTTGATGGGAATGAGAGAGAGACCTCTGCTATTTGTTAAGAGGCTATTCTTCTTAGTCAGCAGTAAAAAGGTGGAGATTCCTTTAATTGTAGGAAATGCCCACCCCCTTCCCCAGCAAAGTACCTTTTGCAGCAAGAGAATGTCTTTTAGGAGCCCCAGTCTGAGTCGGATGCCTCTTTTCCTCTCTCTCTATGCTAAGGGAGAATGTATGTTTTTTATCTGAAACCTTACAGGGAATCATCAGGGTTGGCATAGTGAGATAAAAGATGTGGATCCCAACTGATGGCAGTTCAATTAAAAAAAGATCTGGTTTTATCAAGTGATATTAGATCTGTAAAAGTGTTTCTGGTTCTGGATGCTTGGCATGAAGGAGCCAAAGCTTAACTTCATCAAATGCGGTTATGATATTAAAAAAAAAGAAAAAGTCACCGCTGGCTGGGCTTATTTTGTCATGATATGAGACGAGATTTGTCGCCTGTGTGCTTGTTCGTTTGAGCTGCCAGGCACTGGCAACTCCTGTGGGAAGGAAATGTTCCACTCTACTTTGCATAAGAGGTTCGTTCTCTGTCTAGTTGTAGAATCTATTTTTACAGGATTTTGGCTCAGAGCATTCTCAAGGCCTAATTGGCTGGATTTAATGCAAAAGATGGTATCTTTTGCTACAATCTGTATGAACCAGTTGATCTAACTACCGATCTGCTGGTGCAATTTGTATTATTTAGCTCCCACTGGCCCTCAGGTAAGGCTGGATGTATTTCTTATGCACTATGTGTTGTCTAAACATGCAAAAGCTCATTCTGGAGAGTTTTTGTAATCTGAGTAAGTACAAAAACATGGGAGAGACAGGAAGGGCATAAAATAGACAGGAGTAAATCACTAACAAGTCACCTGCCTAATTCTCTGCACTGTCAGAGATCTGAGATTTCCTGTTGCTTCCCCAGCCAGACTACCTGCTTTCCATCTCTAGACAAAGGGACTTTTATGTAGAACCTGCATAATTTAAAGCAACTATATTATTTTAAATTTTATACTTCGACATATTGCTTTATCTTGGATTGTTTGACCCTCCTCTTTTCTCCATTCATAACCTCTCTGTGGCAGAAGTTAAGCTCTTTGTAAGAATTTTTGGCCCCTAAATATTTTGTGTTCTTCTGGTGGCTGCTAAGGAATTCACTGTATGCCTGCACGGGCCTTCCTCAGGAAGAGGACACATAACAAGTGAGAGTAGAATGACATCACGTAGCTGCTGATGTACTTATCTGCTATTTTTGATCCCTGCTGACCAACCTGGACTGGTTTGTCAGGAGGCGTCTGCAATGGGTAACACAAAAGAAAATTAGATTTAAAGAAATACAGTCTGTCAAGCTATGGGAAAGACAGATAATGGTAAAAGACTGACAGCAAGACCCCAGCGATAAGGTGTGACTATGTAAGTGAAGCATCCTGTGTGTCACTCTGAAAGGAAAGTAGCAATCGAAATAATATATGAAACAAATAGACTTTCCTGTTAAAAAAAACCCAACATTTTCTCTTAGGTTTTTATATGCATTGTTAAGATAAATCAGTAGTTTGACTGAGGAGTCACCAGAGGATTTGAACCCAGTCTGACCTGCTGGGCAAGCCAGGTCAATACTCAGGGTACTTCTGCACAGGATCCACCTGAAGAGGGAGGAGAATGCGTGCTTCCACCCTAGGGGTGGTAGAAACACAAGGAGGTTTCACTCCATGACCAGGTCAAAGCTGCAACTTGTGCCTGTGACAGCTATTTCCAACCTCTAGGAAAGAGCAGAAATGGTGTCTAACTGCTGTGGGGTTTTAGAGCTGGGAATTGTTGGAAGGCGTGTAGTAGCCTCAATTTATGCTGGAGCTTACGGTGTTCAGAAGAGCATCTCAGGATGATGTGCAAGATAAAATGTATTGTAACAGCAACAAGATCCTCAGTGGTTCTTCTTTTTCATTCTCTGGGATCCCAAAGATCTGCTAGTCTAAGTACCTTTAAAATAAACGTATTGTGCAGATGGCATCCTTCTTGGAAGTAAATTCAGACACTCAGCTCGCTTCTGTCTTTCTTTCCCTTCTTCCCTCCCTCCTTCACAGACTCTCAATATTGTGACACCACGTGTTCGGCCAGAAGATTGCAGCATCGGTCTTTTGCCAAGGAACCATGACAAGAACCGCTGCATGGATGTGCTGCCTTTGGATCGGTGCCTGCCTTTCCTCATCTCTGTGGATGGCGAATCAAGTAACTACATCAATGCTGCACTCATGGATGTAAGCAGCACTGCACTGTCCCCGCTGATCCTAGGCTGCATCGAGTTTATTCGTTCTCAGGATACTTTTCTGGGAGAAAGGGATCTAAAGCATAAAAAACTTTTTTACCTGCAGTTTTTGGGTCTGACGTCTCCAAACTGGGCAAAGGCACACAGAAATGTGTCACCTAGATTATGATTATCACACTACCATTGTAATTCTGCCTCACATTGGTGGAAAATTTTTGACAAAGTTCCTGAGCAGGTAGCCTGAGGATTTATTTTAGGCAGGTGGACAAAGAAGTGGTGGGACAACTCTTCCCATAAATTGGTTGTCGTATAACTTGGAAGAGAAATGTTCACCAGGAGCTGCCAGATCAGCTCTTTGAAAAGAATAGTTTGCAGAGTGGAGCAAGTGATTTATTTGAACTTATGCAGTTAAGAATATGGGAGTTCAGGGATCGGATGTGCAAAATACTTTAAGGCTGAAGGACATGAGTTAAGCTGATGTGAATCTGTCTGAAGGCGTTTTCCCTTGCTTTCTTTATAGGCTAGAATCCCACAGCACAGGTCATTTGTATAGGGTGAATTATGTTGATGGTTTCTTTTTGCTGTGGTACCTAACTGCCTTTGGACAGAGATGTCTTTAAAGCTGCTAATTACTGCAGTTGGAGTGTATGTAAATATGATCCAGGGTGAAATGTCATCATTTTTTCCCTAGCAATGTTGGGGTTGGTCTTTTTTAATTTTGTCTGTTCTTTCAGTCTTTGGGGAACAGTGATGCTACTGCATTTAAGAGGTTAAGTCAAATGGTCATAGAATTAATTTTAGATTTCTTTCAGAAAGATTGTGATGTTTTCATTGCAAATATGCCTAAGGAAACTCTTTTTTTCCCTTTAAAGTGTGTGTTTTGTGCTTTGGTGAATCTGCAGAAGCACAATCAATTCTTCTCTGGTTTCTTAGGGACTGGGAATGTGTTTGCACATTTCAGCCCTCATTACATCCAAGCACTTTGCTAATACTTGTATCCTTCCCCACAAAATTCCTGCTAATTAAATTTTTTTGTGGGAAATGAATTTTTCACCTGTCATTGAAATTCAGCCACTATGATGTTCTCTAGCTCACCTTTATCCTCCCATAGAGGAATCAGCAGTTTTTGAAAAGAAAAAAAATCAGAGAGGGAAACAGCCAAAATCCCACATTTTCATAGCATTCCTGTTGAGGACAGACCTTGCAAATTCTTTGTCTTTTCCAGGAGCTTCATGTCTGCAGTCCTGTACTGAGCATGGACTCTTACGAGAGGTCACCCACCCATATTGCCTTGAACTATCATTAGTTCTTTCATTGTGTGAAGACAGGCACATCCTGGGGAACACTTGACAGAGTCCCAGTGCTGATCATTTTATTTACAGATTTCTCATATTTATCTCTTTTTTGTAGACTTCCCCCCAGATCTTAATTGACTTGTAGCTCGCTCTGTGTATTACATGAAAGTTATGAAGGAAGAAGTGCTAGAGCAGGAAGGGATGACGTAGAATGGGTTACAGTCTGGGTTTGGAAGCATTAATTGTCCCAGGAAGGCAATCTGGCAGGCTGCTCTGGACTATGTTCCCCAACCTTAGACACAGAATGCCAGCTGAACCTTCCCTCATGGGGTGAAGCACTCAGTCTGGGCTCCTAGTCTAAACTCTGCTCGAGACTGTCTCAGTCTGTTGACTGTAGAGCTCTAAAAAAACAGGCTTCTCTGCCTTTAGTTAGCTTTTGGGAATACAGCCAAAGGGCTACTGTTGCCCACACAGGGAGGAATTCTCCCCCAGCAGATTTCAAGACTCCTGACATTTCCTCTTCATGTCCTCTGTCCCTTTCAAGTAAAGACACCTTAGGATCTTTCCTATGAGAATCATTGGAAAGCCATGTTTGCATCTGCAAAATGGTTTGCTAAGAAGAAAGGTGAAATACTGTCCCTCACGTTCCCCTAAAGCAACTGCACATAACCCTTAAGCAAGAGACCTTACCCACATCTCTGAGTCAAGCCATGTGGAAGTGGAGATAGGTTTGTGTTTAACGCGTGGGGCTTGGAGAAAGACATGAGTCCATAGAATCACGGAACGCTTTGGGTGGGAAGGGCCCTTTAGAGCTCACCCAGCCCAACCCCTGCAGCGAGCAGGGACAGCTTTAACCAGAGCAGGGTGCTCAGAGCCCCGTCCAACCTGGCCTGGGATGGTTCTGGGGATGGGGCCTCCACCGCCTCTCTGGGCAACCTGTGCCAGTGCCTCGCCACCCTCAGTGTGAAACATTTCTTCCTTATGTCCAGTCTAAATCTATTCTTCTTTAGTTTAAAGCCATTATTCCTTGTCCCGTCACAACAGGCCTTGCTGAAAAGATTGCCCCCATCCTTCCTATAAGCCCCCTTTCAGCGCTGCCAGGCCGCACTCAGGTCTCCCCGCAGCCTTCTCCTCTCCAGGCTGAACACCCCCAGCTCCCCCAGCCTGGCCTCGCAGCAGAGGGGCTCCGGCCCTCGGATCATTTTTGTGGCCTCCTCTGGGCCCGCTCCAACAGCTCCACGTCCCTCTTGTGCCGAGGGCCCCCGAGCTGGGCGCAGGGCTCCAGGTGAGGTCTCATGTTGCGTCCCTGTCGTCATCATTCCCCAAAGATCCTATACATGTTCTCTTACATAAGTAATTAACACCTCTGTGTCACCTTCCCTTTAAAATTGGACAGTGAGCCTGGTTCCTCACCTGTAGCAAAGAAAACAGGGGGGCCATGTTTCTTTTTTCTCCTAATGGCAAAACCCACAAACATGGCTTACCTTCAGCCAACGGTTTAGCCAATTGTGCAATCTGCTATGTCGGTGCACAGTGAAAAACATAGCAGACACATTACAATGTTCTTAATTCTGATTAAGAGATAAGATTCACTATTTTATTTACCACTCTGTTGCCTCCGTTGGTCTTATATGACATAGCTTTTGGCCCATACTGGTGCTCCTAGGTTTCAAATACAGAGTAGGGAGAAAGGGGAAAATCCATTCCAGACTGATCATTTCCCAAGAAATCATTTCCTTTTCCTTCTCTCTACTTCACGTCCCATCGCTCTCCGCACACATGCGCACTCAGAGGCATGGCGCAGCCGCCCTGCAAGCCGGTGCAGAGCATGCACAGCACCTTTTCACCCTCCCAGCATGGTCTGCTCAGCACTTCCACCCGCATCTGACTCATCTGGAGGAGAAAAGGCAAGCCCCCACAACTGACACCTTAATACTTTGGGGTTTTATTTATTTCTTTAATTTAAATCCGAAGTCTTAATATGTTTGGGTTTTTTTAACCCAGAAATACTGTGTCTTTTGATTCAAGTCTGCTTCACAGATGTACAGCACAAAGGACTGTGCAGTTCAGAGGTTCATCTAAGCATTGCCTGCCGTGGTTGGAAAGCGATAAAGTTTTGAGCTTGTACCCTTTCATCTCAAAGTGCCTTGCAAACATTCATGAACGCAACCCTGCAGAGGTTAGGAGCACAGTTCCTCCCCGTCGTGGTTAGGGAGAATGAGGTCAGAGGGCTTTTCTGAGGTGAAAGAATAGCATCAGAAATTAAATGCCAGTGTGGCAGGCATTGAATTTTGCCCCACAAGCTCTTAAAGGATGGCTGGGATCCAAGTGTGCCACCTCTGTAGCACTACCTCACCAGGGAGCAATAGCAGACGGGGGGGCTAATCCCTTCTGTAGTTCCTAGAGTCCATTGCAGCAAAAAGGATAGCATTTGCTTCCAGCTGTTTTCTTTCCAATTATTAATATTACTGATAGTAGTAGTAGTAGTAATAGTAGAATTAGTATTATTTGCTGAGTCTCAAAATATAAATAATTGATTTGGGTAATCTCTGCTCTTGTGACACTTTAATGAAATGTCTTCATTGGGAGCAAAAGAATCCCATTATGAGACATTCATTCATTGCAGAGCGATAACAAGGAGAAGGATATGTGATTTGTATAATCTGGTTAAATGGCTCAGATTGCCTAGCCATAGCCTCCCGGGTATAATATTCGTTTGAATAAAAGTTGATTGAATTTTTTTTTTAACTAATCTTATTCTTTCATTAGAGCCACAAGCAACCTGCTGCCTTTATTGTAACCCAACACCCTTTGCCCAACACCATAGCAGACTTCTGGAGGCTGGTGTTTGATTATAACTGCTCCTCTGTTGTGATGCTGAATGAGATGGATGCAGCACAGGTAAGTGATATTTTCATCATTTCTGTCATGTAACTTTCTTCTCAAATCCAGATGGTTTTAAGAGCATTTCTGGTGCCTGCTTGCCCCAATAAATAAACGAAGGGGAACTGAAAAGTAATAGGTGATGTTTTGGGGTGTAATGAAGGATAAGTCCACATGCTTGGTTCCTTCTAAGGCAGCTAATTCTTCCTGCAATTAACAGGGATTAAATATCTAAATATGTTGTGTTTGCGGACATAAATCTTCCTCCCAAACCCAGTTTCTTCTCTTTCTTATTTTTGTCTTTAGTTCAGAAAAATGTTCTCTATCACAGCCCCAGTGTGCTTTATGCTTGCGTGTTCACATAGCATTTCCAGAAGAATGTAACCAAGAGAGATGCTGAAACCATTCGAAGGATCTTTTCCCCGAGATTTCCAGTGCAATTCTGTAGTACCAAGACATGCGGTTTGCACAACTTCTGGAGAAGCACATTGTGTTGTGTAATTTTTTTTTCCTTTCTAGTGTCATGTGCAAGTTGGTTTCTTGGCTACTAAACACCCTGTTATTTTCAGGAGTTGAGCTTGCCACGGGAGGAGCTGCTGCAGTTCCTCCTGTACTAGCATTTCCAGCCACCTTGCTGATGAGTGGCAGAAGATAACAGCTTTCAAAAAGGCATAATCATGCAATTTGTGTGAAGAGTACATCTGGCATGGCTAATTCACCCATTACGGCACTTGTTAAACAACAGGAGAGGAACACTCAAGTAGTTGGTACTTCATGGATTAATTTTTCATTTGTCTCTTCGCTGTCTTCAAATTCTTACCACACTTGAAGGCAGCAAGATTATTGGTCTCTTTTTTTGATGGTAATGGAGAAACCAAGTACCCCATTCACTGAAGGGATCTCCCTTCAGGGTGAATGCTATGGGATTTCAATTCCAGCCGCAGTAAGAGGTCTGCTCAGAAGTGGGCTCTCTTGGTGACCCGCAGAGTCCCACCACTGTGCGAAGAACTGGAGGTCCTGTGCATTTGCTGCCTCCTGTCTGATTCACCAGCCTGATTCTGCGTCTTGGCATCGAATCCAGAGGTGGATTTCATCTTTGCCTTTTTTTCTGACACTTCAAAGAAAAACACAGCTATTTCTGGAAATTATACACTTTTCTCGCGTCATTCTTGGAAAACACAAGCCTATCAGCCTCAGTCGGTGTTATTCTTGTGACTATCTTTCTGCACAAGACTTTACCTGCTTTGTTTTTTTCCTAGCAAAGTTCTGTTTTTATGAAGTAGACTGTAGGCACAGAAAAGGAGATGTGGCAGTACATAAAGTCACTTTGTCAGCTATTCTGGTATGGTGTCACCTAGCTCCAGTCTGCAGCCAATGCCAAAACCACCCAGCTAACACTGGAAGTTAAGGATGATTTTAAAGTTTGTATCTTATGAGCTTTCAAGGCAGGGTGTGACAGTTTGATATCAGTTGTGAAAAGTGAGGTTTCTGGAAAGGAAACTTAATGCTGTTGTGCTTGCACTGTCATTGTAAGACAGTGTTGTACGTATCTTGCTGTTCATCACTGCCTAATCCAAGCGCTGTACCCGAAGCACTACAAAACTGTTAGTGTACAGTGCCTGCAGATACCGTATTTGCGTGCATGAGCAGGGTGTGTTACCCATCTCCATGAGTAGAACACAAAACCAAAAATTGCTTATATAAAAGCTGTGCCTGAACTGTAGAGAGGAAAAGAGTTAAAATAAATAGGTAAGTGAACCTTTAATCCACTATGCACGGAAAAGGTGCAAACAAAACCATGTGGAGGTCAGAGAACATAACAGACTGTTTTAAGCACTGTATATTGATACACATTTGGGTAGCTGATCGTTCACAGACCTGCTTTATGAAAAGCAGATTTTTTAATATTAAGGAAAGGTTTAATCTTTTTCTTCTTTCCAATGCACCTTGAGGTGGTTTCCTAAAGCACCTGCTCAGCTCAAATCTCCTTGCCTATTCGAAAAATGCTTTTGAGAAGAGATCTGTAGGCTGCTTGAAAGTCTGAATGAAGAGTAAAGACAACCTTCAAAGGAGGACTTGCTTACGTGGTCTTGGCTGGCTTGCTTACTCTTGAAAAACTAACAAGGGCAAAGATGCATAAGATTGCATGAGTATCCCATCCAATCTCAATTCTATATGATCAAAGGAGTAACAGGAATACAGAATTAATGCAGTAGCATGCACACACCTGACGCTATTACTGGCAATGACTGAACTTGAAAAGCTTGAGATCAAGTTCAAATGAGCATCTGGGGGTTTCAAAACTTTTAAAAAATTACACTTGAAAATAGGAAGAAAATAACAGGAAGAAATACAATCTCAGCAGAAACCGCTAATGAGATCTCATGCAAAATATTTTCTCGTCATGATCTATTTCCAGATGGATTTGAAATACTTAGATTGTAATTTGTGTGGATAGGATTATTTTTTTTTTTTGGTACTTTTAATTCAGTAATATCAGTATAAGAAAAAAGACTACCAACCTGCTTCACAAACTTCAGAGATTCAGTTGTGGTTCACCCTGAAATTGGAGTTGCTCTCACTGCTCTCAAAGCTAAATCATTCTCCCTCCCTTGCTCGCTGTTAGAGTCAGAAGGCTAAAAAGTTCATCCCACAGAAAAAAGAAGTTCCACTTTGCTTGAATTAAGATTAATTTTCTTCGTGCATGTACTGTTTCCTCATTAACACCAAACCTCTGTGGCTCCTATCAAATTTGCCTACAGACACTAATCTTTTAATGTTCATTTTAAATCTCTACCCCTACAGAAGCTTTATTTGTCAGTCACCTTTTCTGCACCTTTAGACCCCAGAATTCAATCAGTTACACATCTTGTTCATCCAAAAAAAAAAGGGGGGGACGGGGGGAGAAGCCTAGCTTCTAAAAATATTTCTTTTTTTCTTAATATTCATGACATAAAAAACTTTCACTGAACTAGAAGGAGCAAATACATGTAATACAAGATTGTTTATGGATTTTGAGCTGGTTATATATTTGAGAGAAAAGAAGATGGAACATAGAATCATAGAATGCTTTGGGTTGGAAGGGACCTGCCTTTCCTTGTTAATAGTTAAGGTGCTTTCTGTTTATTTTGGTGTTTTCTCCAGCTCTGCATGCAGTACTGGCCAGAGAAGACGTCCTGTTGTTATGGCCCAATTCAAGTAGAGTTTGTTTCAGCAGACATTGATGAAGATATCATCAACCGGATATTCCGGATCTGCAACATGGCCAGGGTAAGATCAGTGAAATACCAGTTTCCTTATTTATTCTCAAAAAATATATTTTGACATGAGAAAGAGGCAGAACCAAGACTTGTGGTTTAGAGATGCTGAATCTCTCACCTAGGAACAAAATTCCACTGCAGAATTTAGTAGCTACTTCCTTTAATTAACGTAATTGTATCCATCTCTACTGGTAAAAGACTCTTGGCTGAAATTAGAAAGTGGATGATATGAGCTGAAAATCTGTATTTAAATGGAATGCATTTTTCTATATATATTTGAGAACAATTAATTACTTAGTAGCCAATATAAAACCATCAATATTGTAGGAAATAAACTGGGGTAGTGTCAGCAGCTCTCCATCTGTCAACTACTATGCAGTGTCTCTGAAGACAGATGCAACATTTACTGGCGAGACTGGCATTCCCAATTGCCACTGTTTTTCCTATAAATAAGCAACTGCCATTTCCGTAAGCGACTCTTTGTCTGTATCCCGCAGCCCCAGGACAGCTGAACTAATAGAAACAAAGTTTATCTGCACACTGGACCCTGGCAACGCAACTTCAGGGCTGCAGGAAAGGGTTTCAGTAGGGGATTTTTCGCTCATTAGTTGTTTCCCAGATTGGTTATGTCTCCTTTTTTGTTCCTTTTCAATTTTTTCTAATCAGAAATGGAAACAGGCTTCACAAATTACATTTCCATGCTGTTTAACACATCAGTCTCTGATTGTGTGGTCAGAGCCTGTGAAGGAATTCAGTCGTGGCATTGCAGAGTGAACCTTGTTGTCCAACTACACAAACTGATAAATGAGTTGGATATTTACCTTCCTATATCCCAGGCCAACTGCCTCTGAACCAGGGACAGCCTGGAAGTGATATTGCTAATAAGAGTAAGGCTCTGTGACTCTCAGGATGAAGCTGGCTCATAAATGCGTAGCTGGCAGGGTGGAGGCTGTGAACTTGCAGGTCTCTGCACCCATCTGTTCAATACCAATGGCTGCTGCTAAAATCTTTATGAGGATCCTTTCCTGCCACAGTCCCCAGGGATTTTTTTTGAGGGCTGCCTTTGCCTTTAGTTCTTATGGCACAACTAACCTCCAGCCCAGGCTACCAGGAAAGATGTATTTGATCTATTCATACAGTTCGATGAGACTTTATTCTCTACTGAAATCAAAACAAGGGATACTAAGCACCTAGTTTCTGCCTGGGTCTGTAATATCCAAGGTCATCTTTGTTACCCAGATTACCGAAAAGTCCTTGTTTCCCCACTCTACCAGGCACCCAGCGTGGAGGATGTTAACATTGATGATACCAGATTCAGAGAGGAAGATGCAGTGTAACTCATGCCCCCTGCTTTACCCTATCTCTGCTTCCTGCCCCATTCCATTTAGCATCTTGAAAATGCTCTTTGTTTTAGCCCCAGGATGGGTATCGCATAGTTCAGCACCTGCAGTACATCGGCTGGCCAGCGTACAGGGACACCCCTCCTTCCAAACGCTCCCTTCTGAAGGTGGTCAGAAGGTTGGAGAAGTGGCAGGAACAGTACGATGGGAGAGATGGGCGCGCTGTTGTCCACTGCCTGTAAGTAAGATGGGAAAATATCTGTAACCTCATGAAATGTTGTCTGAAGAGCACTGATTATGGATCTGGAAATTTTGTGGTTTGCCAGGCTTCAGCTAGAGAAAATGAAGTTAAATTACATTGGTAATACATCTCAAGTTGAATATTGTGCTACATTACAGCATCCTGGCCCAGAGATTTTACTGATTGAGGTGAGGAGTAGCTGAAAAAGCTCTGCTGCTTTCTGTTGTGTAGGTAGGTCTCATGATTGGAGCCCAGACACAACCGAAGCATCACTGCCACGTGTCCAGCTCCGACCATGGAGCTACTGTGAGCCCCAGAGCAGTGAGGAGCAGCACTGCAGTTCCTGGGACTTCCCTGTCTGCCACTGCCAGGGATCAGCTCAGCCCTTCCGTCCCTGCCTCCTGCTGTGCATGTCTACACTACCACAAACCCTTGAATGTCCTTAACCAGTCCTCACTTACAGCCCTTTCCATATGTGGTGTGGGAGCTGTTGTGTAAGCAGTGCTTTCCTCCCTTCCCTCAGCCTTGCCCAGCTTCACGTGTTGCCTCTTTTCTTCTGCACGCAGGAATGGTGGGGGACGCAGCGGCACCTTCTGTGCCATCTGCAGCGTGTGTGAAATGATTCAACAGCAAAATATCATTGACGTGTTCCACATAGTGAAAACGTTACGGAATAACAAATCCAACATGGTGGAGTCACTGGTAATCTTTTTTTCCTGCTCCTTACCCTACCCAGTGTATGCAGGGGGAACTTTAGGATGGGTAGAAAAATTCCATGCCTTAGCTCAGTATGAATAAAGCCAATCATAATGTAAAGCCATCAGAATTAAAACCAATCCCATTTTAGCACATGCAATGAATCCTCTGGTCGCACTGCTTCTCTCCTTGAGCAGACAAGACACAGCTGCCCTGGCAGCGTGATGAAGAACGTCTCCCACACTTAGCTGCCTCCAGGAGGTTAAACCCCAAGTAGCTGTCACCATGGCCATGAGGAGGGAGTAGGATTTGTTCTCCTGTGCATGTGTACAGCCTGGTGCTTAATGCTGTGACATGCCTTGAAACCAGGAAGGGAGGACAGTCTGAACCCCAGGCCTGGCTCCCGGCAACCGAAGAGATTAAACTGTCCTGAATTCAATCATCTCAATCGATCACACTGAATTCTTTCCTCAAAAGCAATGCGCGCAATGAGGGCATGAAGCAAATAATGAATAGCCCATACTGTGGCTGTCTCTCTGAGTGTTTTTCTCTTTCATTGACGATACCATCTCTTAGTAATGCTTGTTCACGTAGAAGTACAATTAATGTTTGCCTGGTCCTGCTGAACGGTGTAAGAAAGAGGGAGGAGACATTTTTGGCAGCTTGTAGAATGAGGCTCTGAAGAATTTACCTGGATTCTACATGTCACTGATTTCTGTTCTCTCTTTCAGGAACAGTATAAATTTGTATACGAGGTTGCACTGGAATACTTGAGTTCCTTTTAGCCCAGTGGAGGGAGGGGGGCTCCGAAATGCCAGACCCCAATCTCTGGCAGATGCTTCTCCCCTCTCCCACACTGGAAGGCAGTAACACGTGTGGGAAGGAAAACCTCTCCTTCCCGGAGCAAGAGACTGAGATTGCACAGACCTCGCTGGAAGGAGGAGATGATGCCTGTGTTTGCTGCCGCCTGCTTTCTATCGGAACATCTACTGCTTCTTAAATAACCTACTGTAAAAATTAGCAAAATGGGAGACAGGCTGAAAGACTGGACTTTCTAATCCCCTCTGACGACTTCTCTTTTGGATTGTATTTTTGCTCTGCTTGCTGCAGAGTGGGGAAAGAATGAAATCCTTAGGAAATTCTCTTTTAAATATCTCCTTTTTAATTTATAATTTTGTTCTCAAATCCCAGTCTTTAATTTCTGAATTTCAGGCAGCAGTCATTTGGGAAAAATGAGATAGCCATAGGGGATATAGGAAATGTTTCATTACAGTTTGTCTACCTTATCTATTTCCTTTTATTTGTTTTTCCAAATGAAAAGGCCAACACAAAAAACCCCACTGGAATTCTCTTTCCATACGTAGTCGCTTTTAGCATGAAAATAGATGGTGGAGATGAGAAGCTGTTCATGGATTCACTGCCTCGGCTTCCACACAAATGTTTCCTCCCAGTGTCTGTTAGACTCCTAAGGCTGTGCATGAACCGATTACATCTCTCTGGTCCGTGTTCGTTTCAGTGCTGGTGAAGCAATACCATTAATGAGTTTCCCAGCCACTTGACCCTTAAGGTTAAATATTTGCATCAAACAAATTGCATTTGTCTTGCAACTTTTGGTAACTTTGTTACCATATTTTTCAAGTATTTGCTGGGGTGCAGTGTGTCTTTGAAAAACAGGGTATAAAGTAGGTATTATTGATCATATACTATGTATTATTATTTTCTATTTATTATTTGTATTGCTGTAGAACTTAGGACCCCTAGTCATGACAGGACCCTGCTGATGCAAACAGAGAAACAAAGAAGGTTCCTGCTCAAGAGCTTAAAATCTGAAGGTAATCTTAAAATTGGGTTTGGTGAAGATTTCCTCACTATTTCCAAACTGTTGTAAAGTCAGATGTAGTTGAATGATTTATTTCAGATTTCCAGGCCCTACAAGCTTCAAAGTGGTAACCCATCCAAGCTGTAGGAAAGGTGATGTACATACACAGAAACCTATTCTGACATGTGTTAAGAAAAGTGTTAGACCAGCACATTAACTTTCCTTTTTAAGCAAAACAGCTTTTGTTTTGTTCTACAAAAATGCCTGCGCAACTCTCCTTCTTTGAAACAAACACCAGATGCGTTTTGCCATGGTTCTGGATCTCACTCTGACTTCTTAGCAGCTAAGAAATTGCTTTTCTGAAAGAGTATGTTTAAGTAAGTCATTAAGGTCTGGAGGGTAATCCTGGAGAAAAAAATAATTGAATGAGCAAGGCCTTACGGTATTCAGTATTTCAGCTGAGCCATTTATTTATCTTGAGGGTGCAGGGATACAAGGTTGCTCTGAGTGTAAATTAGATTCTGGGAGATACAGGTTTCTTCAAATACAGACTTGCTAAAAGATAGACTGAAGGTAAGAGTTTAAGGAAACTCCACTTTCTTCCCACCCTATAGTTTTCCACCCTCGGGTAAATACTGAGACTGGGCTGGGAGCTCTGACATGTCAATGCTTGGCGTAGAGCATGACAGAAGTTCAAAAATTGTTACTAATTCTGTATGTAAATTCAAAAGGCACCTCTGCTTCATGGTCATTCTTTTTTTCAATAGTCATACCTTTGCCTTGACAATGAAGGATGAAAATTAAATCTGATAAAAGCAACTCTCGACTCAAAGATACCAGTATCTAACTAAATAGTCATCATCTTTACCAGGACCTGCAACAGTCTAAGGTAGGATGCTTGGAACAGCAATAATCCTCTTCCTGCTAAGGAGGGGCTTGCACAGGACGCTGAACAGCCTAGCTTATGTTCTTTCCAAGGAGCTTTGGATTCTTGGCTTGTTCCAAGTGAATATCATGAAGGTCTTAAATGAGCTTGAACCACATCGTCCTTGATGCAGCCAGTGTGCCATGAAGTATCGGTGAGCCCCTCACAGGGGCTTCTGCTCTGTTTCTAGTTGGTCCTTTCAGTTGTCTGCAAGAAATCAGGAAATCATCTTTAGTTCCTATTGGGGCTAGAGGTGAATATCTGGTGTCTTATGAAACAAACTACTGGGTTTAATTTTTTTTTCTTTTTTCCACTAAGCAACACAAACAATTCTGCAGAACAAAAGGAAGGCAAAGCAAAACTATGAGAGAAAAAGGAGAAGGAAGGCATAATATTAGTGTTTTGGTTACAGGTGGCTTGCTCTAACAGTGTAGGTCAGGAGTTGGAGCTGTCAGCAAAGAAGAGGGAAGAGGTAATGCTGATCCCAGAATGGGATTTTTCAAAAACTGCCCAGGTAGGAAGAAACTACAAGTCAGCAAAGTGTTCGTGACTTTGCTGACAGCAGAAGGCCAGAGGGAATCACTCTCTGTGGATACTATGGAAATATTAATTAGTATTTAGCATTCTGTTAATTTTACATGGAAACTAGCACAGCGATAGGTCCCCGTCAGGAGTTACTGAAGTACTAGTGCAAGCACTGAGGGTGACAGCCAGGACAGAAGGAATAGAGAGGTAGAAGAAATGGCAATATGACTGCAATGTGAAGTGTAGGAGGTAGTTCACGGCTTAACAGTATCATGAAGGAAAGTGGATTAAAAAGCCAGAAGTAAGCCCATAGGAAGGATGTGTGCGTGGAGAGAAGCATGCGTTGGATAAGCAGAGCAGAACAGCACTTGCAGTGGAGTTGTTTAACACCTTGGGGTAGGTTTAAATGTGTTTTCATAGCATGAAAAATGTTACTAAAGGGTCAGGTGCGTGTATCGGTGTACCCACAGCAACTCGCCGTGTGCTTTTAGCCCTCTGCAAATGCAAAGTGACGTTAGCCTGAACTGCAGGGAAAGATATTTAAGCTAAATTTACCTTGTATTTGCAAGGAACAAGTTTAATGCAAATGTTGGTTACCACAGCCCGACTGTTACTCACAGCTTATTATGTTCTCAACCTTCTTCTAATGCCCAGCCTACAATCCGTGTGGAAAGATGCTCAGCAAACACTACAGATTATGTTGCCAAACTGCTATGCTGTCAGGCAGTTAAGTCGCTTTTGGGGGACTGACCCAGCTCCATCTGTGTCGGCTGAGGGATCTTTATGCTGTTCCTTGCTGCACAATGCATATATGCTGAATGTGAATTAACGAGTAAGGGAATTGTGTTGAAAGAGTAAAGAAGCTCGTTTTAAATAACCTTATTATCTTGAGGTGGTTTAAACCACAGAGAATATACCATATAACAAAACAGGTAATGTGTTTGAAGCAAGATTATGGGTGATGGGTTTGTTTTCACTGGGAAAGAGAGAAATTACGAGATGAGATAAAGGAGGCTTTCTCACTCCTGAAAGGATTAATAATCAGCGTGAGCTTTCGAACCTAGGCATCCCCTGCTGTGGATAGAAAGCGATAATGTGTGGTAGAAAATGCGAATTCCTCAATGAGTGAATTTTAGGCTGGAAAAATACGATACTGACAATATTTGAATGGTCATAATGAAGATAAACTTTTTCCCATTCAGACATCCTTCAGGGGTGAGGGAGCACTGTTTATTAATAGTGTAGCATTGGTCTAAAGTGTAAGCAGAAATACAGGGAACTAGAAATAGGTAAAGAAGGGTGGAGCAGGGGTGACTATCTCATACATGGGGTAACTAACAAATTATTAAGGGATGTAACTGAAGCAAAGAATTCCAGAGCTATCTAGGCTGGCTGCTGGAGAAGGAAGATCCTGAGTTGTCTGCAGGAAAGAGATAGACCAAAACCCCTAAAAGGTACGATAGGTCTTAAAAATCTTTTCTTTTTTTCCTTTTTAGTTTTGTGTTTGGTGGTTTCAGGTTTGGTTTTGGTTTGGTTTTTTTTTTCTTTTTTTTTTTTTTTAATTACAGTCTCTGCAGGAGCTGTGTCCTATGCTGGCACCTTTTTTTTTTTTTTTCTTATTCAAATTATCTATAAGGAAAATGGCATTTGACCTCCTGCAAATACACTTGAGGTACTTGTTTATTAATGTAAAGAAATGAGACCATGCAAGGAGGTACAATGTACATGTGAAGGTAACTGAATCAGGACCTCTGGTGGCAAGCAAGCAAATGGAATTTGGTGGGTTTATTTATGCCCACAGATGAAATAATTGGTATTCTCTGATCAGGGAAGTCTCTGGACTATGGTTAGTAGGAGGCCTTTCAATTTGTGATTGAAATTCTTTAGCAAGGTTGCACAGAATTATGCCTGTCTTTGCCATGCTCAGCTCCAGCCAGTTTTATTAATGCACTGGTGGGTCCCTCTTAAATTATTAACATTTTAGCCACTTATGTGAGTATTTTAGTCCACAGGAAACAGGCAGTTAGCAATGAAAGATTTTTGCATGCATTGAAAAGCTGTAACTTTCGTGGCCTTTACCCCCAAATCAAACCACAGTTTCTGTACCCAGTCTCTCCTGCTCAGTCCCTGCCCATGTGCACACACACGTCCAGGTAACTCCCAAAAGGCAGGCAGAGATTTTGGGAAATGCCTGCGACCCCTAATCAGTCTGGTCCTTGTAACTCTGTAGGGCAGAGGAGGGAATCCCAAAGCTTTTGCCTAGAGAAGCACTTATTTGTGTGTCAGTAGTTTCCAATCTTTTATTTTGGATCTGTAAGTTCCCTGCAACAAAATGTCCAGTGGCAATGTGGACCCCACAGTAGTAGATTTAAGCCTGCAGGTGGTAGACTTGTTTTTCCATTAACTTTTCACAGGCCCTTTAGAAGTAGTTTGTGGCATTTCCCTTGGGAATCTCAAGCCAGGGATTTCTGGTCACTGCTCTTGATGTCCTGTAGAGTCAGAGAAAGGAGAGAGGTTCCTGCAGCAGGTGATTCAGAAGGCAGTTAAACCAATTGCCATCTAGAAGAGAAGGAATGGCGAAGAAACCTCCTTTGGGAGAAACCAAACATTGGAAGAGAAGGCAGATTAAATGGAGTCCTGAAACAGGTAGGAAACTTGCACCTTGTTCTGTCTCTCATTCTTGCACGGCTGCTCTTACATCTTTCTTACTCTTCTGAGTTTGTGCCAAGATCGTAAAAACCAGGTAATGCCACATTCCATGCTGTGGAGCTCTGTGGAGGTGGAGCAGTCAGAGTGTAACAGAGGAAATAAATCCTGAGGGACAAAGATAAAAGGAGGTTTGCCTGAGAGAGAAATCTTCAAATACGAGGTGCCTCTACCTGTCACACTTACAGAATTCTTCACAAGTCATCACAGAGCAGTGCACAGTCCTGACATGTGCAACGCAGTGTAAACGTTACACTTGGAAAACTTCATTGTCCTGTAATAATTTTAAACAATCAACTCCATGACATTGGTAGCACAGTTAACTTTTATGATATATCCAGCCAGTGCGAGGGACATCTC